CCATTTAAATTGAACTTTTCACAAGGGGTCACCAAGTGCATGTTCCTTATTTTCTGGGTGCTTGACTAGAGACCTGAGATCTGATGACATGGGAGCTGAGCACTAACAGCTGCAGCTAATGTCAATATCATCTGTGCTCTGAGCCCCTTACAACTACGCAGGGCTAAGTGTATGGAAAATAGGATCTCAGATATCTCAAGCTGGCCAGTAAGAATAAGTATGTTTTGCCCAGTTTCTTTTAATTGTTGTGGCTGCCTCTACTCAGTCTTGTAAAGGCATCCATGCTGAGAGCAAGTTTGCTGACTGTCTGTTTCTGACCACAGAAATGCTCTAGGAGGAATTGCGCTGAAAGATCAAGGGATAACACTTTTAAGTGCATTCTGAGGTTTTAAGCCCTCATTAGGATGCCCAAATACACAGTGTAGACTATCTGACCTCAGGACTGACTCTACCTGGCTTGTCCAGCATTTTCCCGCACTGATCTTCGTTGTAGCTGGATGCCCATGGCCTCACACCATTCCCAGTCATGCTCAGCATGCCTCTTCAACAGTGGAGAAGATGACAGGCCTACATAGTCCGATTTTCATACTGCAAAGCCCCAGAGCTATTATCAGGACATCAAAGGAACACCATTGAAAATTAATGCTATGGCAAGTGTTTGGACGGGGATTGAGTGTATAACCGAAGCTGGGATAATGCTGAGTTTGGAAGGGAGCTTGTATGGCTTGAGAAGAGGTGTTGATAGGAGTCCACTAGATACATATACACAGTCCTAGCCAGATTGGGTAAGTGGATTATTGCAATTAAGGCTAGAGGCGACATAGGCTGAGCAAGTAGAGTTTGGGCAAAAAGAGGATGATTAAGAATCCATCTGCATTCGATCTGTCCCGTTTCCCAGTTAAACCAGAGAACTGCTTAAATCTTTAAGACCGTGTTTAATTCTGAGTAAAGGAGGCTAGATATAGGTTTCCATTTATAGACAAGGTTATGACCAGCAAATGAGAAGAAAGAATAATGTCACCACGTAACTGCTGCTGGGTTAATGTGAGTATACTGATCATGTCAAGGATAAGTCCTAGCTGAAATAAAAAAAAAAAAAAAAAAACCTTTGAGTCTCAGTAAAAACTAGGTTGTTCAAAAATGCCCTGAAAGTTTCTGCCTGGCCAAACCCACAGTCACCCGAGCCAGCTGCAGTACTAAATGTCAGAGAGGAACTCACAAACCCATATTGGCCTTGATCTCAGGCTACACCGTTAACTTCTTTCTCTTAATATGTACCCAACTGGAATTATTTATTTCCAAAATAATATCAGTTTACACATTTCCCAGTTATCAAACAGTGATCCCAAACCTATCAACAGTCATCTTTCTAGCCCAGCCATCCCTGTCATTTTTCAAATGACAAATAGGCAAACAGAAAAGAAAAATAGAAAAAAAAATAGTAAAGCAGTATCTGAGTAATTGTCTATTCAGGACTCAGGCTTAGGTTTAGTGTCTAGGATCAGTATTCCATGAGCTGACAAGCAGTGGTAATACTGGGTCCAGCAGACCCAGTGCTAGTTTGAGGACTGGTGCTTGCATGAAGTCACCTACATACCTTCATAACTGGATGGACAAAGAAGGCACAGAGGAAGCATCCTAGCAACAGGTTAAAAGTACACTTCGGAATATTTGAGTTAGGTGGCAAAAGAGCCTGCTTATGCAATGTCCAGAAGGGTAAAGAGTGTTGACAGAGGGTAATGTAAGCCCCAGCTCACCCCACTGCAGAGGCAACCTTCGCACCCAGGGAGGTATGACTCCCTTTGGCTGCCTCTTGTTCCCCTTCCCCCAGGTCTACACTTCTTGGAGAGCTCCACCACCCCAGTCCCACCAACAGCTGTCATCTATTTTTTTTTTTCCTATGGGGCAGGGCATTCTAAAATCCCCAGATATTTGCATATTTCAATTGGTAGCAAGGTAACAAAATCTGTTCCATTCATCTGATCATAATGTCGCCTTGAGAAGCAGCATAAGGAGAAAAATTCCAGAGTTTTATGTTAATAAATCTTAACTTAAAGCAAACATATTCAAACTATCTTTTAGCTAAGATAGTTTACTACTTAACTATTTAACTATTTACTATCCTCAGTTAACACATTTTTTTTAGCTCTCTCCTTATTCTTTCAAGCAGAACGAGATGATATAAATATTGTCCCAGTCTTACAATAAAGTATTTAAGTTTGCTTTCTTCTTTCTTCCTTTTGGAACATATCTAATCCTCCTGCAGTTCACAAAGTCTGATGAAATGCTAATTGAAATCAACAAAAGACATTATTTTACCACTTTAGGGAAACAAGATTTTGGCTTGTGCTCAGGTTTTGAATAAATCTTTACAGGAAACTAAACTGTCTTTAAACACATTGCAAAAGTTGTCTGCATTTGCAGGTGTGTTCACTCAGCCTATTGAAAATGTTTATTAATTACACAATAGATTCGAACATTTGTGAAGGTTAGTGTTTCACCAAAAGTCATATTCAAAATAGACCCTATCTTCTCGAGTTTCACTTTAACATTACCCAACCAAAGAATGACTCAGCCAGATCAGATGGTTTCTAATCAGTTCTGCAACAAAGCAAAACAGTGGAGGAGTTCTGAAAAGCTCCATACCCTAAAGTGTGCTCGTATTCAGAATTACTCAGATAGCTAGCACACTTGCTAAAATGAAAATCTAGTTGTAAATAACGTAACCCAGGGATAAATCACTGCTACTCTTCTATGAGGGATGAACAGAGTACAGTTAGATCCAGATGGATGAATTTATGACAAACAACAAACTCGACCATCTGAGGGGTGGAGGCATTTCATTTGCTCTTGCAGCTTATTATTTAATTGGCTGAGATTTCATGTGCCAAACCTTATCAAGGTGAAAAGTAGAGAAAGAATTATGATAGGAATTAATCTTAATAAAATGTGTGGATTGTGTCACCCTTTGTAAACGGGCATTGGTCTTGAAGCCACTTCCGTCTGAGCTGATAAACAAATCTCCTAGAAACAAATCTACAAGAAGAAAAACTAGTTCCCTATATCAGCATTCACTAAGGACGCTATAAAAGAGAAAGCACTCTCTGCTGCTTAGCCTAATAACTATTAGGCGAGTAATAGAAAATTTGGCTTAATTGTATGTGCAAAGGATGTGACACACTGGAAGCTGATAAATCTTCTCCTGGCTAACGCAGTAAGTTTAATCACCAACAGTATTTTGTGTGCTTACACGTAGCTTATTTCCACACTTCACTTGCACTGTACTTTCTTTACAAATATTTTGCTGCTGAGAGTTTTGAGAACAAATCCTTAAGAACAAATCTTTTGTCAAAACAAACAAGCAAAAAGAAAACTTTTTTTTCTCCTGGAAAGACTTGTTTTTAATCCTCTGTTTTTACATTAAAATCGTATTCATATGAATATTGGGAAGCTCCGTGATGAGTTATAGAATTCTCCACGGGGAAGAAGCAATTATATAAGAAAAGTCAAGAGAATGCCTCAGCAAAGAGTGATCGGTCTTTTTATTTCACTATGTAGTTTAGATGCAATTACACTTCACAGAATAGGAATCTTTAAAAGGCAACAAGCCAATGCTAGGAAGTCTCACAGCAAGACTATGCAGTACATCTGTGCTCAGAATGAGATACAGTAATAATTTCTTATTATCATTATTCATATTATATCAAGAATGTGGATTTTAGTGAATATACATTTTAATGGCCACATATTTTATTGCATTTTACCTATTAAAGAAGAATTAATAGATGCTAACATATCTATGGCTATTCACTAGTTTTGAAAGAAGCTAATCCAATCACAAAGTTATCTCTGTATTTGCTTCCTGTAAACATAGGAATGATTGAGTTCTACGGGCTGTAAAGGGCTGTAAAAAGGCAATATTATAAACTTGCAAACTTGAATAAAACATTTATTTCTAATCACTTGCTAAATCAATGTAATGGGATTTTGGAATTTCTCAAAATTCAAGTTGTAAAGGCCATATTCAGTAACCCAAGAAAAAAAGTCAGTACATGTTTGAATAAATCCACTCTAGTAAATAAAAGTGCCCATAAAAACCAGAAATCATGATCAACTTTAAGTTTCCTGCTAGCAAAAGAATAAGCTTATTTTTGAATTAGTAATAATTAATTAAATCTTGCACTCTGTCCAGTTTTAGACTTGTCATCAATGTACCTTAAAGAGAGCTTCATGAATCATAGAACATAAGATATAATTAAACAACAGGTAAGTTTTATAGATTGTCTTCATTGGTAGTTTGATATTTTTTTTATACAGTGGTTAGACTCACCTTAGATAACCTCCTTAAGCTTTCAGCAAGTTATTATTATGTGTATGTAAACAACTTAACAACCAGTAGGACTCTCAAGAGCTGTGGCTTTGCTTGTATCCTATGTGCAGGACTGTGACAATCTCATTTATTGATGGGGGAGTGGCAGAAAGAAATTAGGTGGCTGCAACGCCAGATTAGCAAAATTCTTAATTACACAATTAGTCTTTCCCATTTAAGTAGTTCTACTGAATGACATTGACATGGTTGCACACTCTGAGCAAGCAACTGCTCAAAGAGCTTGCTGAAACAGGGTCATGAGGCTGAAACTCTGGTTTTAAGAAGGATTAAAATTGCATGCTGTTTCTGTACTAGTGCACATAAATACATTGTTTTCTTTAGATTTTTTATATGCTCCCATATTAAACAAAAATGTGTACAAGCTTCTATGATCCTTTTCTGATAGGGTTTTTATGTACACACAGCCATAAATTTTTATGCTGCAAGTAAAAAAATGCAACAACCAAGTTCTGATTATTCTTTGGACCTGGGCAAAGACACGCATATCAATGTGGCACTTGTAAATAGGGAACCTGAACTACATGGAGATTTGTATGGAAGCAGCAGCCCAGAAGATGAAGTCTTCAGTCCCTGCAAAATTCAGGAAATACCAGTTTGCATGGATGTCACCATGCCCCCAGATGACTCCATCCGCAGAAGAAGTTACACTGAATCTTCGCTTTTGCTGAAGCTTCCCAAAGAGGAGCATACTGGGAACTACCTTGCACCTTTCCAATTTGACCGGCATGCTCTGGGCAGAATTTCCACCTCTCCCACTTTAAGGCGCCTAAGGATGGCATCTGCATCACAAGCACTGTCACTTCAGGACAGAGCTCTCAGGAGCTCTGACACAGCTCATCTGGGGAATCAAAAGGAATACACCAGCTCGCTCCACCATATTTGTAAAAGTCTACCACAATGCACTAAATCTTCCTCATTGTCATCGCCTTCATGTGTCCATGGAAAATTACTCTCTCCCGAAGGAAAGACCGAAACCACCATAGCAGATTGGGAGTCTGCTGGCCCTAAATCAAGGCTGTCAAGCCAAAAAGACCCTCTCAGCAATGAGAGTCCAGAGGCAGTGATCCAATACTCATGGAAAGCCAGCTCTGATGCTCTGCCTGAGAGACTTCTGCATTCCAGCCCTAGGAAGGGGGAAGGCTTCCAGGTAAGGAGGTCAGGATGATGTGGCCTCTTTTTCAGCCTTGAATGTTCATGCATGGTCCGCTGCACAAAAAAATATCCCCAGTTCTTAAATTGAACAGCAACCTGACCTGTGCTCCATTCCCATAATAGACAAATTTCTGCTCTTTTCAGGAAGGCAAATTTGTCCTTCCAGTTCAACACGAAGCCATGGCTCCAGCCATGCCTCTTGGTGTGGTCACCAAGCTTAGTCCTATGCTTGGCCATGCTTTTCCCACTTTTCTGTGGTGGCAAACCTCTACCTAGTCATCCCACAAAACTTCAGTCCAAGGACACAGCAAAAACAACTGCATAATCCATCTTTGCTGTTCACAAAAATGTCCATAGACCTGCTCTCTTGGCTTTGCATTACTTTCCCAAGAAGTTAGATTCAGACATATAGCTTGACTCTAACCTCATGCGGAGCACTTAGCACATTTGTTGGAAAATGGGTGGTCTCAAATAGGTTTTTAGCACTTTACCAACTGGTTAATTTTGTGTCCAGAAGTTATTTTTTCCCAATCAAATATAGAAAACATTCTGAATAACAAATGAGTCTGTTCCTTTTTCCACAGCAGAAAAATAACTAGCCAATGCCTAAATCTATGTATGATATTATATTCCTTTTAACAAATCAGCACGTCTTTCACGTCAGATCATTGTTTGTTTTCTGAACAAATAATGAATGTATCTTTCTTACTTTCAGAAGAGCAGCCTGCCTATAAAAAGGTATGTAAATATTTGCTTTATCTTATTCTAACTGATCTTCTTTACATGAATTTGCTCTGGTCTAAGACAAAGTGAACAATGAGACATGTATGCTTTACTCATCTTTATAGATTTGCATTGAGAAGTGCCCATCAACAGCTTGCTAAAATGAACTTCTTAATGAGATTTTCCTTCAAAAGCATGTTTAGCTATATTTCACACAATATTTCAGTAGAACCTTCTGAGAGCTCTGCAAAGGGAAATAATTGCCAGAAAGTCTTGCTGTTGGGATTAACAGTGTCAAATTTCAGCAACTGAAGAATGTGAAACATCTCATAATCTTGAGTGACATTCTTCAAAACTTTCTGGGAGGAAAAAAGCTAGAAGAGCAGCTCAATATTGTTCTCATGCATGAGAAAAGCAGACCCAGGATTGCTGCTGGATGAAGGGATTGTTAAACCCATAAACTAAGAAGAATATATGATTTTTACAAGATGTTAGTGCATGCCCTTTCCACTGTAGTAAAGTGATCTATACCACAGAAATGTGCACTGAGTTGTATTAAGCTCTTACAAGCATTTTTCAGAAAGTAAAATTCCGATTAAAAGTGAGTTTGATTCAGCCATATTTGTTTCCTTAAGATTTTCAAATATTTACAGAAACAAAGCAAAATGAAATTTGTTTGCTCCCCAAACAACAAGGAAGTAGCAACTAGTACCTCCCATAATAGCAACATCTCTCACTGGTAATGCAATGTTCATTTTATTGCCTAAGTCCACTTCAAGACTTGAGGTGGGGCACACAGGTGACTCAGGCATGTTAAAACACTAGAACTGGTGAGCAAGTCTTAGGGAATGTAAGACAGAGGTAGCTTCACACCCAACAGTAATACAATGCTTGTATGACCATGTCATATAATATTTCACTGCCTAAGGCAGTAGATCTCATTAGCTGAGCTGCATCCCCGGCTCTTCCCAACATTCACTTTTTTGTTAGATAAAAGATTTATTATAAGCAGCAGGTTGCCAACAGGTCTGTATTTCAAGTAGGCTTGGGCCTTTGGCAGGTGGGAGTAGCACGATGCAGCACACGAGTCAACATGCAATGCAATTCCTTACACAAGTCTTAACAGACGTGTGTCTAACATGATGTGCTCACTGCACAAAAGCTTTCCCAGATTTTCTGAATTGCTACGGTTTCCAACTCACCCTTTAGCCTTTTCAACTTACAGTTGAAAGAGGGAGGAAGCAAGGGAGAGCTTTGTGTTTCACTGTGAAAACAGTCCACACCTAGTGCAGGAGTAGCCTGCTCTGGTCCAACTGAAAACGGAAATACATAAGCAGAAGTCATTGATAGGGTGAATACTTGTGCAATCTCTAGCTCAGTTCAGGTGAGAAAGTGAAGAAGCCTCAATACAAATGTTTAATGCCCTCCTGTTGAGTTATTTAACACACACGCCTTCTCTTGGTGTAACTCGTCTGGCAGCTTTAGAGGGAACCCAGTATATGCCAGCTAGGACATTGGCTTTGGACTTCAAGTCAGATGCATTTTAAAAACAAGAAACATGCAAGGAACACCACAAACTTTGTTCCTTGATCACTACCAGGACTGAGAAAAGGGGGTTGGGAAGACATTACAATTTCCATTTCTTGTCCTGATCAATATTAAAATGTTCAGAAACATTAAGACAAAAACCGTTGGTTTCTGTTTTAAACTTTTTTGTCAAGTTGAATAGCTTAATTTGGTCCAAGATCTGCGCAAGGAATGTATCCAGCTCCTCATTTATCTAAGTCATTAATCTAACTCCTTAACAGCTAATGCCTTATTATCATGGCCAGAGAAAACTGCTGAAATGTCAGATTACTCTTTCCGATTAGAAGTACATGGGCACAGCTGGCAACCTTCCTCCAGCACTGCCTCATATATCATCCAAAAGGCCTTACAGGATGAAGACACACTTCAATTTTAAGTCCTTCAATTTTAAAACGAAACTCTTCTTCCTTCTCTCAGGCTGTACTTTCAAAAGCCTTTCCTTAAGCAAGAATTGTTGTTTTAAACAGGCCTCCTCTACACAATCCTCAATCTGCTACGCCAGGGCATCTCTACTAGTGTGACAATGTGCTGAGTTGATGCTGATTAAAAATAATGAACCAAATGATGAACAAAAATCTTCTTCCCATTCTAATATCTCACATACCAGCAAAATTCTATGCTCACTCTTGGAAGCAGGGATCAATGTCATCAGCCAGCAGCCATTTCGGCTTAATACTGTGACTATCCGATCATGTCAAGCCTTGTGACGTCTCCCGTTGTTTTTGCTCTTATATACAAAAAAATGATTTTAAAAAGACATACCTATTACTTAATTAAGGTGATTGATATAGATATCTCTTCCCTGTAACATCTAAATGTGCAGTAAGAATAAGATTATGAATTTACCAGGAAACAGATCTTTCAAGGGCAACCAGCTGAAAGTTTCCCTGCCTAGAAACTGCTGCATTCCCAGGATTTATTTCTCCAGACCCTGAATTGTTTCAACATCTTTAGTAACTTTCAATAACTTTGTAGTACAAACCTAAGACATAAATTGTTTGGCAAAACAAGCAGATTCAAGGGAGGAATCATTGCACAGATATTATCTCTTCCTGTGATCAAGCTGATTCCTAAAGTACAAAACACTCCTTTCACTCAGGTACTTCAGCATCCTGCTCCTTGTAAGAAAAGCAAACAAACTAAAGAAAAGGTAATGCAAGGATCTGTAGACATGAAAAAATGGGATAATTTTGTTGCATATAGACTCAAACACTAACAAATTTTATTGCACAGAACTCCAATAGTATTGTTTCTCCAGTAATAAACAGTAAAAACATCTTCTAAATGCATGTCTACAAGCATCAGACCAGATGATCATAGATACCTGCATCTGTGCTTTCACCTACTAAGCATGAGTCCATAGTTCAGGCACATGAGCCATAATGAACATAGTCATTGTAAACTGCAAGGGTTTATTGTAGATATGCATCCAAGTGACCTTAGCACGCTCCCATATATCCCAGCCTTGCATACCTATGTGAAGAACTCATTTTGACATAAGTGTCTCCAAAGTGCAAGGCCTTTCTGGTTTAGAGAAATAACAGAATTTAACTCATTTACAATGAAACTGCACTCTCCATTATTTATTTTGGAATGATTAGCCTCCAGCTTCAAAACATATTTCAAAATTGAGGTAGGCTAGATGATACACAAATGATTGGTAATGCGTTGAAAAAAGATATTGTGAATTGAAGCTGAAAGAAATCTCCTGAATTTCACAGCTTAGCAGTTACAACTTTTAGAATTGTCTGTATATTATACTGCAGCATTAGATTTGTATAACACTCCAACTATCCAAGACATTGCATAGAGGAATCACAGGTGGTTTCAGAACCATCTAAACAGTTATTAACAACACTTAACATTTGCGATGGGTAGCACGAAGAAACTGTTTGTCAGAAATCAGTCTCTGTTGCACTACAGTGCACTCTGTTGCACTTGCAGACAACCAAGAAACAGAGCTCATCCCAAGAAGCCTGCAGTCCATGTATTCATTTTAGCTTCAGGAGAAATCTCAGAGCTTTGTATAAATCTCTAAAGTTAAATAACTTATGTTCCCCATTCAGTGGGACTTTCAGAAAAGGAATGGCTGTTAGTTAAATTGCACATTGCACACTGTGACCTTATTTTTTACATATATATATATATATATACATACACATATATGAATATGTATTTTTATATATATAAAGCCCCAGACTGCCTGTGTTTGGTGTTAAAGTCACAAACCTGTCCCTCTTAACAGCCTGCAGATCTCTCTGTGGTTAGGAACAAATTTCCCTTACATCAGATGGATTGGGTTACCTAAAGTAAGCATCATGGTCAGATCATATCAGAAAGCATGGTCTCCATTTCCCACTTCATATTTCAAAACCTAGCTCTCAGCCTTATCAGAATCCATCTGCTAGTCAACGAGCTGCCAGGTGACCAACCATTTGCACGCTTAAGGGAAAAAAAATAACATTCAAAGTTGCACATCAAGCATTGGCAAGTGACTAAATAATCACAGCAAGGTTTCTGCCTAGAAAGAAAGCAATAAGAATTATACTTCACTGACCAAGAGTAACACACACAGTAGATGGAAATCAAAATATTTATGCATATGTATTCATATATATGTACATGGATACGTGCATACCTGGTGCCTTCACTCACAGCTTACTCTCTCCTACTAACAACAGGTACTTAATTACTGACACTTTAAAATTTGATATCTTCATTATGCGTCAGTAATGCCTGTTACCTTGCGATAGCAGGTTAACACCATTAATTAGGTATTGGTGTGAATTATTAGCAAGACCCACAAAGGTTTTGACATGCACCACTAATTTCTGTATTTGAGTGCAAGCAGCCTGATGCATCTGCGCTTCCAACACACCTGTGGATACTGAATGCCGGGATCACTTAACTTGATGGATCGACATTCTGGATAATGCACACCATTCACATCCGTAGTAGTTAGAAAGAAGCATTTGTCTCCAAGGGGGCTGCTAAGCAATACTATGTTGAAAATACAAAATTACTTGGATTATCAGGCACTGCTCCTGAAAGTAGATAGAAAGGAAATTTCTAGAAAGGAAAAAAAAAGAATAAAAACTAGCCAAAAGGTAATTATAAAGAAAGTGCTTGAAATGTTTTCCTAATACACCGTCTTTTCTTGAAATCAGATTTCTTGAAATCATGTATCAGCTATGATCATGGTATTTAATTGCTCCTCTAGATAGCAATGCCAAATACGGATTTAGAAACTTTCACTCATTTTTTGCCTAATCTTAGAAGCAGTCAGGAATTTCCTGCATTTAGATTCTCTGAGTTCCTACCTCCTGAGACAAGACAGACCTGTAAGCTCCTCTATCTCAACAAGCAGTAGAAGATAGTTAGGTATGCGCTGTTGATCATGGAGGTTTTCTACCCACTGAAGTTGCTGACTGTGTTTAATACATTATTTGGTAGCCCTGTGATTAGTATTTTTTTCAAGCTAGCTTCCTCACATGTCGGTGAGGAATACTTCAGAAGGCTCCTCTGCCACAAGGAGGGGAAAATGGTTAAACGTGCTGGGATTGCATCACACAGATCAGCCCATCGCCGGCGCAGCTCTGTCGTGGTGAGCCTGCCCGGACTCGAGGTGTTCCCCGGCGACCTCCTCATCTCGGACGGTGCCATGGACTACCTTCCCCCCGCGGCCCTGCTGCCAAACGCAGGTCAGACACAGGCTGGGCTCTGCCCATCGAGCCACCACCAAGGCCCATGTGCCTGGGGGTTGGGGAGGGAAGATCAGTACAGTGGCAACATGGGGGGACCAGAGACCACCTTCATTCTCCACAGGGCTGGAGCAACGAGCCAAGATCTCCACCCAGGAATTGCAGGAATAGTGTGCCCCATGCCAGCCTTCTAACTAATGCTCTGATCACGAAGTTCATAGACCCCAGCCCATGGCTACAGGTTGCCCACTAAACCTCCCAAGGTTCAAATAGAGGCCTGCAAGCAGTTTCCACGAATACCTATAGTGGAGCATAGCGTAGTGTGCAGTGGGATTGCCACTGACCAGATAATGCTGGAGACGGGAGATACAAGTTTTCCTCCCCCTGCACCTCGCAAAATATATATATATATATCAAGGGCATGACAAGCCATTTCAGCAAAGCAAACAAGCTAGCCCTTCCCAAAAGGATGGCCCATGCCCGAAAATCCCAGAGAGGAAAATGTGTACTGTGACACCCAGTCTCACACAGATCTGATGGTACGTACCATAAATTGAAGGGAAAAAAACAGCATTTTTTTCCAAATTTCTTACTGAGAGAACGTATCCCCTTCTGCCCCATGAATTCCTACACCCAGATTCTCAGCTATCCCCACACATCACTAAGGATGTTGAATTACACCCTGGACTGTGGTGCCAGACACTATTACAGATGTGAGATTTAGGTTATCCACGATTGCTCTTGCCTTACATTTGTGATCCCATGGATGTTACCTTTCACAAGAGACAACACTGAAAAAGTACTGTAAGTGCCCATATAGATCCAAGACATCACTAAGGAATACATATGGCCTAATTCTTCCTCCAAAATGCTGAATATCTTTAAAAACTGTGACCTGAGGTATGGCGCTTTTTCCCATGCTAAGAACTGGCAGTCATATGAGGATCATCTGCAGCAAGTGGGAGAGTTTGGTATCAGCCAAGATCCCCATCACAGACAGACATCACACTTGCTGGGAAAATCCCAGTCCAATAGCCTTAATGATTTTTAAGTCTGGGGCACAAACAGCCTAAATAGAACTGTGGAACCTGACCTAAATAGTGGATAGTGTGTCAAGCTTCACCTCAGGGGAAAATAAAAGGAAAAATAATAATAATAATAAAATATATTTTCTGCTATCTGTTTCTTTACTGATAACACATTTGTTTTACCCATTAGAGTCCAAAAAGCCAAGGTGGCCATTTGCCAAAAGAGGAATTGTGAGTATTACACCATATGGGTTTTTTTTTTTTCTTTTTTCCCCTTGCCCTGACTTTGCAAACTAAATGAGTAAGCGAAGTTTCCTCACTTTCCTGCCCTGGGGTAATAACAGGAGAACCTGACCTGCCGGCCTCCACACCACCTGGTACCGAGGGCCCACTCGGTTTTTAATTTGAGACGAAAGTTGGATGGATTGGACAGGGCCAGCCCTCATGTCGTGCACATGACTAGCACTAGGGACCAGTGCATTGGCCACTCAGTCATGTCCTTGCTTTGATCATTCCAGCAAAAAATTTAGCTTATGAACATGCATTTGCTGGTGCGTTGGTTAAACATACATGCATGTGCATACACACACATTATTACGATATTGTTTCCATTTCCAGCCATTTCACAGAACTACAAATTCAGCTTACGCAGAGAGTATCAAATATACATATTTGAATATATATGTATATATTCAGAACTGACTTGAGTTCATTGCCTACTATTCAGTCAGAATGAATTCATGAAGTGCAACTATACGGATCCAAAAAGCAGACAAAATACAGTCAAAAACCTTATAAGGTTAGCACTAAAGTTGGGTTTGCAAACATTCATTAAACTTTGCTCATGGCATTACTGGTCTGGAAAACAAAACAAAAACAAATGGTTTTCTTTCAGGATTCCTCACATGCACAAAGTCTGCCTGCTCTTCAAACTTTATCCAAGCTCATTTTACAGAGACTATTCCACAGCAGACCACGGCAACTTTCTGAATATTTGAATATTTTGCTCAAATCAAAAAAAAAAAAGAAAGAAAGAAAAGAAAAGAAAAATTCCAAGATCTGCATACATAAAATGACATGGGTAGGAAGATATAGATTATAAATTTTGTAGTCCCAGAGTTCTGACACAAAACACATTACTTGTTTTGTAGTCTCAGAGTAGTCCACTGTCTGTTGCTATGTCAGTGACTAGCCCTGATGTGTTGTAAAAATAAGACCTTCCTTATATGCCCATACCTAAGCCACCTACTCACCTCATCCATAGCCACAAATAAGCTAGACATCCCCGTATCATCCACTATCAGTATCAATTTGTCATCAATCAAATGCAATGACCTCCAAGTATAAGGACATCAGGGTGTCAGTGGTTCAGTCCATGAGTAATGCACTGAAGAAAACTTCTTACTTGTCTTTAAAATGATTCATAAATTAAGGGGTTTTTTTTATTTTATCTTGTCTTTTTTGTCAACAGGGCAAGGACAAGCAGAAGCAAGCATCTGATCTGGAAAACTGCCTTTCAACTGTTAAGATCATCGAATGCAGCACATACGATTTTTGCCTTTTTAAGGTATCAAAATGCTCAGTACCAAAGAAGCTGTCTCTTAAGCTCTTAAATATGGGGATAAAGCTTTGTGTGCTTTTTAATTACTATTTTTCAAAACATTAATCTGAATATGAAATCTATCTGCAAAATTAATGCATAAGCCTAGGGTACAAAATTTGGTGTTTGTAATGGAGGGTGGCACAAATGTGGTTGCAGACTTAGCCAGAGGCCTTGCAGTTCCAGAGGCTTTGCCAGGCTTATGGATCCCAGCTTGTCTTACATGCAAGCATCCCTGTTTGATCTTTACCAGATGCCCTGGGACCTATTAGACGATTTCTCTAGGATTAGAGCCCCCAGGTTACTCTAATAGCTAGAAAGGACAAGATCCATCATTCAGGTGCCACTTCTATTCTCCAAGCCATCTGTAAGCTGCAGCCTGATCCCACAGGCAACTAATTGCTCATTTTTCTAGCAAGGGAGATGCACAAAGATAACACGCTGCTGTGCAAGTGCTCAGAGACTCAGCTCAGGTACAACTCCTACAACAACAACAAAACTTTTCAATTAAGAGAGAAGGACAAGTATTTGAATATATGTGACCCCAGCAGCAAGTTCAGAGAAAACCCAACTCATTAGTGCACCCTTCAGGCATCTTGCTCAGAGTCTAAGCACTCGTCTAGTGGATTAATAATAATAATAATAAGCCTTTAATTCACATTCTACCCATCTTGGATTAGGGATGAAGACCTGAGTAATTTATATCCTGTGGCCAGCCCTAAACAACAGTCTCTTAAGCACCCAGGAACCGTTTTCTTCTCAAATAGGCAGATCAGCACCTAAACTAGATCTGCTGGACATTGCAGTCCCTGTCCACTGCAGGATGGAACAAAGCATAGCCAGGTACCTTTGAAGACCTGGTCTTTTGAAACCTTAATTTGACCTTTGGAAACCAGGAACCTATTACCCATCCTTGCTCTCCAGCAGCAACAGCATGACAGATTAAACTCTGGGTTTTTTGTTTTTTTTCATACAACATCCTACAAGCATAGACTATTATTCTGTGCCACTGACAAATGCAGTAATTTCATATAATGAGTATTTAGAAGTAAAAAGTCTGGCATTTTGTCTTTTTAAAGGAATCATGAAGCTTTCCAGAAGAAGAATCACTAATACTGTTAGGCAGGCTCTTGACGGGGCAAATAGATTGTAAAGTTTTTTGCACCAGCTACTTCAAATTTTGTGTATTAGGCAGTTATTCTTCTTTTCTTCCATAGAGTAAATCGTGGCATGAGTTCATAAAGGCTCAAGAGACTAAGCAGAAAGATGCCGATAGACGATTAGAAGTGAAGAAAGAGGAAGCTGTGTGGGAATTGTTCACAAGTGAATGCACTTACTTCCTGGATAATTTGCTGGTTCTCAAGATGGTAACTTCAGATTTCCTTTCTCAAAACAACATGAAGGCATTATTTGTCTGTCTGTCAGCAAAGCAGACAGAGCTGGCTGCAATCTTTCATTTACCATCTACATGGGAATGACTTGCTGCTTCTCCCACCTGATCATCCTATTTACACAAATCTCTTTGCATGTTTTTTTTTTTAAAATCTCTTGTTGTCATCTCTTCCTCTGGTATCATTTCCAGTGCTTTGCAAACATGTATGATTGCAGAATCTTCCAATAATATCAGCTGATATTCCACTACCAGTTCACTGACTCTCAACTTAAGCCATTCTCCAGCTGGGTATTTCTCTATACTGGATATTTCTCTACTTCTAGCCTATAACTTACTGTTGGCCTAATTTCTTACTGATAAGATGATAGAGACATGGTTAGATTATCCTCACTAGAGCATTGAAAATGCCAGAGCTGAGCAGATCTATAACTTTAATATTACAAGAAAACAAACAAGCAAGTAAGCAAACAACTTTCCTCACCCCAAAATGTCTGTATCTATGTAAATTTTAAGTGTTTTGAAAGATAGATGAGATTATTACACAGTTGCCCCACTTATGGCGCACACATCAGAAGTTAGTGTACTTGTTTAAAAAGATGCAAGAGTCCCTATTATTTTTCCCCTATCCTGCATAAAGCAGCTTCCTTCTTACACAGAGGAAAAGTAGATAAAATTATTGAAATGCTTTCAGTGTTGCTGTAAGCAACAGAAAGTAGTTATACGGAACAGAAAGTACTGCAAAGTGAAGGGAAAGGAAGAGTTGGGATTCATTCCTTCTTGGTAGGGCAAAACCTGAAGGGACAAGAGAAGGAAGAGCAAGAAGCTCCAGTTCGGATGGAAATATCCATCCTTCTGGACTCTTTACTCAGTGATCTGAATCAAGAAAAGACAGGTGAAGCCCTAGGACACAGGAGGATAACAAAAGACATGTAGGTCCCCTTGGCAAGTTCGACATGGGAACCTACCTCAGCCAGCCCTGTATGACCCATGAGCAATGTGCTATCCTGTCATCTTCACAAATCATCGTGCTGAAGAAAAACTCCAGTGAGCTCAGGCGTTCACTTTTACACATACCTGCTACTCTAAGTAAGTGCTTCACATTATAGAAATATTCCACTCATTTTAACGAATCTCCATAACAAACTTTAAGACCTCTGCAAATCGCTTTTAAGCTCTCAGGTCCACTGTTCTTGGTACCTGAGGAATTTTGCAAAGCTCAGCACACACTCGCACCAGCTCTCCAGTCTTAGCACCCGAATGATGGGACTTTTTTTTCAAGTAATGCCTTTCCACCAAAAAAAAAAAAAGAAAGAAAGAAGAAAATGTAGTCTGCTAGTCTGTAATCTACATTTTTCAAGCCTTTTTCAGATTTCAGTCAAATTTAGCTCATCCCCGAGACCACAGTCAGGGCTTACGTAGCCCGTATCATAAGTATTCAATAAAAATACACGCAGTGGATACTCAGTATGGTTTAATGGGCCAAGCCAAAGAAAGACTTACATAAGCCCTCCACTGCCATTAATGATTTGCAGCTCCAACAAGTTTTCTCTCTGCCACACTAAGTCCAAACAATACATATATATCAGTAGATGAATGAGTTAGTGAGGAAAGCATTTACAAAAGACTTAGAAACTCATAGCTCCTGCAACTATGTTGCTAGATCTGGGGACCTCAGTGGCCCCTGTTTAGGGGAGACAGTGCGGCCTCCGTGGTGGTGGCATGGAGATCCCAAGATCTTCACTCATATCTTCCCAATATTTAGCCTTCAGGCAATCCAGGGAATCTTTATCAAAGAATCATCGTCTTCATGCCACAAATGAAGTGACCATTGCAGGAGAATTGTGAGGGAAACAGGCACTTCTTAGGAAAATTACTGGATATATTTAATCAGAAGCAATTATAATAACATGAATTTGTTTTATTTTAAAGATATTTATGAACACACTAAAATACCTTCAGAGTAATGAATTTCTCTTGGATGTGGATTTGTGGAGACTTTTCACAAACTTAGAGGAGTTAAACAAGGTGAGAAAAAAAATACAAGTCTTATTGAGATCAAAAAGCCAACAGCACAACACAAGGAGACAAAAAACAAGAAACTGTCAGCTAAGTTTCTACCCAAATTCTCAAACAAGTGGCACCAAGACTGTTACATGTTACACTAGTGGGAAAAAAGGAAATTAGCACCCTCTCCAGCCAGGAGGAGGTGTGGAGGACTGTCTCAGATACAGACCTAAGGCTGTGTATTCATATGCTACTTCTCCTCCAGCTTCTATGAGGAGAGAGAAGATGAGGTTTGGCTGTGACATGCTGTGGCTCTTTGTTGCTTGGGGTCAATTACTGGGAAAGCATTTTCAGCTACAAAAAGTTAAAACAGCCCATACATCCAAAATAGGGTTTATATAGCTTTAGAAGGAAAGCAGAAGATTTTCTTATCTCTTGGAGTATTCAGTAAAAAAAAAAAAAAAAAAAAAAGGAATTTGCAGTACCAGTGTTTTACAGGATTACAAAGGTGAACACAACAAACACTTCCTCCAAAATAGAGAAGCAAATTGTTTACTTCGGGTACTTTCCCTCTTTATCTCAGGGCTATCAGGTATGTTTGAACTCTCCTCCAAATCCTCATAAACATGTCTTCAGTAGCTGAAGCCTGTCTGAAGCCTGTTTTGACCTTACTCAGACACAGTTCTTACAAAAAAGAATTTTCCTATTTTACTACGTCACGTTATCTGAAATCTCTTAGTATGAACATTTTTCTTTTAGTTTGACAAGGGTGCATGTTCTGCTTTTTACAGCATGCTTTGATGCTTTTGTTTGGGCTAAAAAGTGGGATAGTTAAAAACTGTTAAGGCAAGGGCGTACGATAGACTGGACTACCATATGCTCCGTGTGGGCACCCTTGGAATCAGCTGCAAACATTTCTATATTCACTTCTTAAGGGGAATAGATGGCTTATAAAGGCAGTTTTGCCATCTTACAACACTTAAGGGAAATTTCCCTTCCCTCACATAGCATGAATCAAAGTCACTCTATGAAAGATGGCCTCTTTTCCAATGTCTGTGAAGACTTCTGTGATTGTCACAGCTCTGTCACATACAATCAGCATTTCTCAGTATATACCACTCATTCACAGAATCACAGAACAGTTAAGGTTGGAAGGGACCTCTAGAAGTCATCTAGTCCAACCCCCCTGCTCCAGCAGAGACACCCAGAGCACGTGGCACAGGGTGGCATCCAGACAAGTTTTGAAGATCTCCAAAAAAGGAGACTACACAACCTCTCTGGGCAGCCTGTTCCAGTGCTCTGTCACCCTCACCGGAAAGAAGTTCTTCCTCACATGGAGGTGGAACTTCCTCATTATAATTTTCTGTGATTTGTATTAAATACAGCTGCTAGCCTAAAATAAGTTTAAATTGAATAACTGTAATCTTGTTTCAAAGCTTCTGTCTTTTTTCATTTCTGTCACGTAACTGGTATTTTCATAGATTTACTTTAGCCTCTGGCTAACTAAAGCACTTTGGCTATAATTTTGAAACTAATTCTGGCGAGAGAGAGAAAGTTGGAGAGAGAAACACTGGAGCCCCATTAGGTCTGTAGACTTTGGAGAGACCAGGGGTGGGAAATGATGTTGTTTTAAACTTAGCTTTAGAAAAATAGTCATGCTAGCTTCTTTTTCTTCCCCTTTACCCAGATGAGTCTCAGTTTTGTAAGCAATTTTTTTGAAATTGTGAAGGAGCATGTCAACAACTCAGAATCGTCTATGGATTTCATCTTCATACTCAAAAAGGTAAAACAATCAAAACTATTTCTGTTTAACCTCCGGTGGCTATTCCACGAGATCATTTATGATAACATGTAGGTGCCTTGCAGCAACTGAGTCACTCAAGGCCCCGCCATCTGTCGCAGGCTGTTTGGCCTCAGCCTCTGACATGGGGAGGAGGTATGTGCATAGGAGTATCCTTTGTCAGGAGGGATATTTTTATTTCTATTCCTTGAAATGTTTGAAGCGGTCATGGAAAGGTGCTTTTATGTAGACCAGAATGTGTCTTTTCCTTCCTGGGGAATCTTAGCTTAGACCTCAGAGAAATTTAGTCACCTACATGACTGAACTTCTCACTTCACAGTAGAGGGTTCCCTCACGCCAGACCCCACCCATATGGCTGATGTCCCCTGCCTCCTTCCACTCTACCAGGCAGATGCTCCTTCATGGCCGTGTTTTGTCCCTCCACCCTGTCTTATTCATACCAGACTTCCGTACCAGCTTTCCTGCTTTTTCATTGTTTCCTTTATAATAAGAAAATGATAGCAGTGTAGCAGGACTCTCCCATGTGCATAGTAACTCCTTCATAGCTTTCCAATGGCTGAAGGGTTGGTAGCATTAATGTAGATGGGAAGTCAGCAGGTTTATCACTGGGATAGCTACACCTGAAATTCCCCTAGCAGTAGACACCATTCAGAAACTTCTAGGAGAAAAAAAAATGGAAAATGGGGTTAGGATTCTTAAATGGGAAAGGGGGCTAGATCTTGGCTTCTCACTCAGATTAGCTTTGACTCCAGGCTTTCATTTAACTAATGCTTGCATGAGACAGAGAAAATCCCAGACAAAACAGAGTATTATCTTTGTTTTCAATTAACAGCTCTTAGAGCTTTATGACTGACCTGGAAGTGAAGTGAAAGTACATGAGGCTGTGTAAAGCTGTTCTATAGATCAGTGTTTTTTATCTTCAAATTTTACATCAATTCCACATCCTTTATTTCTAATGTAAACAAAAAATATCCTGTGGATCATAGGAGCACTTTTCTTTTTTCTGGTTTTACTACTTTTTATTTTGTCCCATTCTTCTTCTCCTTCCCCTGCTCCCCCTGTTTCCTAGATGTGATAAAAACTCATGTAAAATGCGTATTACAGAAACACAAGTATTTCTTCCGGCTTTGTCATGATATTTTTTCTTCCTTGTTAAGCTTCCAAACTCTTTTTTTTTTTCTAGTATTTCCAGGGTGACCTTTGTCAGACACATCAGATTTATTGCCTTAATTACTCCTCTGCTGTCTTCTACTTGGAGAATCTGAGACAGAGAGAAGATTTTGGAATCTACCTGAAAGTAAAGTGTTGGTTTTGCTCATGTTGTTGCTGCTGTCTTCAGTCTTTCTGTCTTCTGGCAAGTTTTTAAAAGCACACTTGGAAAGCTCAGTGGTAGCAAAACTGTACAGACAGTATTTTACACAGATTTTTGAACTACAGAGGATAGCATAAATGGTGGTTTTTGCTCTCTTGCACATGTGGAAGTCCACACTTGCAATTTAAAACAGGAAAAAATTGAAACCTAGGTGGGAACAACTGACCACATTTTTGCATATGCCAACATCAAGCATTCAAAACTCACATTTATTCTAGTAACATGGGTATTTTACCTCAGAAATTGTTATACATTGATAGCCTCTCCTTGCTCACATAGGCACATAATCAAAACTATAAAAGCATATTATGACTTCCTTCTCTGCTGGGATTCCTTCTGCCAAAGCAAGATGGTGTGTGATCAAGTCAAAAGAAGATGAAATATAAGGGCATATAGATGCTTTCACATGACCTGGGGACCTCTGCTGAGAGAATAGGTTGAGTTTTCATTGAGCCCTACAGAGGACTCTTGGCTACTTCCATCACTCGCAGATATTCAGCAGCCTGGGAAGCATTAGAGAGGAAGCAGTAGTTATCAGATATTCTTCTTAAAGTTAAAAAAAAAAAAAGCCAAATTCTGCCTTTGCCTAAACTTCACCTGTCTGAAAGCAGTAACTCTGGCCAATGTAGCTGTTTGTTAGACTCACAGGGAGAAGGCTCTGCTCTCCTTATCTTGAGCAAACCCAAGTGTCATGCATATGCTTAAGACTGTTCTTCAACATTACAGACTTAGAAAGAGAAACCTGAGGAAATGGGCTTTTCTTATGGGCAGTCCAAGTAAGGACATCTCTTTGTAACAGACGTTGCAGCCTTTACAGCCTGGGATTTTTCACAGTGTTCCTCTCTGACAAGTATGTCAGGCACGTCTAGGAAAAAGGCTACCAGTGAAAAAGCTGAAACTTTAGGTGGTTCCCAAACATGACAATGTTTTATTGGTGAAATTAAAATGATGGATAAATAAAAGCAATGCTTGATCCTCTAGTATGGCCACAGCATCTGAAACAGAAAGCAGCAATGCAGGACGTGTATCTGAAGGAGCTATGCAGTTCCTCCAGCTGCACACAGCACTCTCACTCTCACCACCTAAATTCATCCTTGCTTAGTTCCTGTGTCATTGCAGTCAGCTGATGATGCAGAAAGTCATTTACTAGTTCCTGCCAAGGAGCAAACTGAGGACTAAAACAGGCTTTCTTTGTTTTCAGTAGTGGTGCGAGCAGAACAAGTTGTGCAAAAGACTCCATCTGCCTGAGCTGCTGGTTGCTCCTCTACATCGACTGACTCGCTATCCCCTCCTCCTTAACAACATCTGGAAGAAGTGCACCGATGAAAGAGAAAAAGGCTTTATCTGGTCGGTTAAAGAAGAGGTGGAAAAATCCATCTGTAAGTACCTAAGGTTAGAAGTCAAGTACAGAATTAACAACAAGCAAGTTATGGGGCTTTTTTGTCCATGTATTTTTAGTGTAAATGGGTCTGTTCCCCTGCAGAGATGCAGTAAGGATGTGCTGGCCTTTTTGCAGTCCTTTTGAGTCCTTCCTCATTTTGTGGGAATTGACTAGTTTTGACAGCCCTGTGCTGTCAAAACCTCTCTGAGCATGGTCACAGTACTCCCAAATCAATCAAACCCCTGTGTTTACAAGAATCATCTGCGGCGACATGCAAACAATTAAGAGCAGATCATAAACCGGAACAAATAAAGAAAAATCTCAAACAAAAAAGACTTTGAGCTGGCTTTATATCTAGGGAGATTTATTGGACCTAACCTTTAATAGGATAAAATTCCCCTCACAAGGGGCATATTATGCCAGTGACCTTTCACTAAATGACAGGGTCCTGCCACATAGAAAAGCAAAGAGCTACCTCAGCTACAGAAAATTCTTTATAGCTATTTTAGAAAAAGAAGGGGCTAATGAAGACACATATTTTTTTTTTCCTGGATTTTATTTTAAGTAAATAATTTATTAATTCAGTCATTTTCAGGCAGTTATAGCTGCAGCTGCAAATGTCCTATGGTCACATAGCTCATCAGAAGACGAGGGAAGACTCAAGGAGCGTCCTGCGATCACAGCCATAGCCTCTCCCAGAGGCCTGTCCTTCATCACAAAGCACAGCAATGTCTCTCAGCAGGAGAGCCCTAAACTCAGGGCCTCCCTCCCAGTTTCTGAAGCCTAGATTCAGTCCTTTTCTGGGTGTGACTCTACCCAACGGCCTCCTTAGTGTATGTTCTCAATCCTATATGCCAAGCATAGTATGATAAGATGCTCTACTGTTAAAAAATGTTCACTTTGTATGAAATAACTAAATATGCACTATGCTGTAAAGGACACATTCTACAGCTAGCGTGACTACCCAAGGGACGGATGTCTGCTCCAGGTGTTGCTCCAGTACTCACTGAATATTGGATAATGAGACAGTCATTGGAGCGAGGAGTTGGGCTTTGGTCTTCCTCTTTGCCAACGGGGGTCCCATCCAACAAACAAGCAATGACTGCTCATGGATGGAGTAGCTTCTCAGTGAGGACTGAACGCCACCACCCTTCTCTCCATCCTAGAGGATAAAGGGTGGAACATCTCCTGGAAGAAGAGATGGGGCTCTTGGTTCCTAGCTAAATACTGCAATGACAGTATTTGCTAATTTCTTAAAAAACAGGCTCAGGTTCTTCCTCTTCTTGCTAAGTTATGTGAGGATGCTGATCTAACTAATCGCCATGTGAGGAAGACATACCCAAAACTTTGCTCAAATACTTCTCAGCTTCTTTGTAGGAAAATGAGACTTTATGTGGCTAGTCTGTGGATTCTGACTTCTGCTGAGAAGCAGGCAGTTTTGGGCATGGCCCAAGAAGACCTTGTGATAAGAAGGTTCTTCCAAAGTCTGCATACCTCTGGGGTTAGGTAACTGAACACTTAGACTTTGGAGATAGTGGGCGTAGGCGAACAAGTTTTCTTTATTCACAATGACCAGACAATAAATCAGAGACATAAGAAATAGTAACAATTCCAGTATATTCTTCTTGGCATAAATATGCATGTGTGTTAAAAAAAAAATGCAAAATCACTCTACATAAAAATTTAGAAATTGAACTGCAGGTCAGTTAAGAGTTTTGCCCATAAATGTCTTGATTCAGCAAAGACTTTTCCAATTTTCACATTCAAAGAAGCCCCAACCCTAGCTAAATATATCAATATGTTCTTGCACCACTTTCCCTTAAAAGACACTCGTTAATTTCAATAGCCTTTTAATCAAACTGTAAACAATACAAGTTATTCTTCTCTCACTATCACAGAATAGTTTAGAAAGTCAGGATTTTTAAGACCTCTTATAAACAACATTTTAAGTGAATTTTGCATGATCCCTCCCTACTCCCCAGTCAAATAAATAGATACAGCCTGTGCATTCAGCAGTGAATTTGTGCCTGTTTGAATGCCTGGCTTGAAGTCCTGTCTCAGCTGAGCTTAAGAATAGTTTAATCATCACCTTCAGTGAGGCCAGTATCTCATCTAGGGCTTCATGTGTGAGGCCAAGAGCCCTTTGGCTTCATCTGGAGATGATTAGTATTCAGCATCTTCTAGAAATAGGTCTATTTTCTGCTAGCCATGGCAGTAACTGGTATTTTAAATGTTTCAGGGGATCTGGAAGGTAAAGTCAAATGGCTGGACAACTTTCAGAAGTTCAGGCAACTGCATGAAGTCATAATTTGGCCTCAAGTCTGGGATCGCGACAAGAGATTCTTTGTCCCAGAGGTAAGCAGTTTTTCAAAACAATGTTTTTCCTCTAGGAAAGTTTGGTTTACTATCTATCCTTCTAACATAGTCTAATATTGGTCTGTTGTCTATATTCTAGCTACTGTAGATAGCTCTGCTCTAATAGGAGGAGCTTCAGTCCAACTACTGCAAGCTCTGCACGTGACCCATCAGGTTGTGTTCCCCATCCCTCAGGAACGGTCCTTTGGATGGCAGCATGGGTTGCTCTTTGCCCGTGTCCAAGAGAACACTTTCATAGGATCCAGGAGGACTCTTCAGTGTTTGCTTTAGGGTGCAAAATAAGATGAGTTGGGTAGAAATACTACTACATTTAGAAATACTACTACATTTTTATAAGCAGGATGCGAAAAGAAATGTTTTTTTCTTCTTCCGTTCTTCAAGCTGAGCCAAATAAAAAAATCCCTATTTACGTCTGAATACTGTTAAAACAATATACAGCAGCCCTGGGAATGTGTGCAGCTTCTGGCTGAGATAAACCCTTACCCACATAGGCAGACACTAAGCAGCACTATGGTAACATCATCCAGTGGGTCTTGCCTCAGGGCTTACGTCTATCACATGCAGTGATGCTAAAATCATTAAATGCATTGCAGAGAAGAGCCCAGCCTGACATTTCAAAAACTTAAGCACTTTTAAGCAATAGCATTGCCGTGCCTGGCTGATAGCTGTGTGAAGTATTTAGCTGGAGATAGCAACACCCACATCCTCAGTTTGTTTAACTGTTGATTGCTTCCCAATTCATGATCAAAAATGCAAGATTTTCTGTTTTCTCTCTCTTTCTGTCTCTTTTGGGTCAAGTGCTTAAAGCAAAGTCTGAGAGAAAACATCAGTGAAAACATTCTGTCTTCAACGAACAGACTTCTTCATGAAGGGAGATTAACACTAGCAGGTAATGGCCCTAAATGCATCTGTACTAGCAACTAGCCTAAAAGAATTATGTTCTGGCATGGTGGGTCCAGAAGGAACCTCTGTCCCAGGATTTGGGCAGGTGCAGGAAAGAGGAAGCAATCATACGGCTTGTCAAAGCGAGACTGAGGAAAAGCCAAACTGCCAAAAGAATGAGTAATCTGTACAATCACTAATTGTCACGTCTGGATGTTCAAGATACTCTTCATTGGCTGAAGAAATCAACTTGACTGGCCAATACCTCTTTTCTTTTGAAGGCAATGTTTTGTTGTCATAGTCAAGCCTGTGGCAAAAGGACAGAGGAAGTTCAGATGACTTTAGGCAAAGTATCTTATGTGCACCTTGACTGATGTTAACACACCTCCCATATCTGTCATTGTGTCCTTTGCATGCATGTACTTTTTTAACTACTGAAAAGTCCAAACTTTGTGGGTTATTTTTTTTTTCGTACTTCACATTTGAACAGCTTTGCTAAGGGAGTTATTTTGATATATAGCTTGGAAAAAGAAGGTGGTGTCACACGGAGTGTCTTCCCTATTATTAATAGGGCTCTCACATAGCAGAGGACTTGCTTGTGCCATTAACCTGCGGGATCGCTGTGCTATGTTGACTTCTCCAGCACTGCCAGCAGCAGCCTCTCACTCTGGCACAGGTTTCCACCTCCAGACACTCAGGCACCACTCTAACAAGACACGGGTTTCTTGCTGCAAACCTGCTGAAGAATCACTGCGCAAGCAGAGGAGGAAGATTTTGTTCTTTCCTGAGCAGGAAGCAGAGTCTGGGCAATTTGGTCACTTGTTGTGCTTGAAGATGATGCACATTTGAGGGGATGTTGAAAGCCAAGGTGGCTGAAGTGTTGCGTGGTGCCTTTCACAAAGGGACACAGTGTCTACCTTAAAATTCCCTGACCATTTGGTGGAAGGGCAGAGATGAAGAGAGTAAATGTCCAACACATGACTTCTCTGTCTCTCACCATTACCATCATTGTTGTAAAGGGAGCTGCAAAGGGATAAGGTCTGTTTTACCTTTTTTTTTTTTTTTTCCTCCCTCTCCCTACATGGGGCAAGATTAGGAGAGGCAAAATTACAGTAGCAGAGGAGAAGTCAATGCAAGGGACATGGAGATCAGAAGAAAATATTGCTGCTGATGTTCAGGGCAAGGTGGGAAAAGGAGGAAGAAAACCTATCAAGCATGGTCCTTCCTCTCCTGCTAACACTTCCCTCTGCAGACATTGCCCTCTTAGCGCAACCCTGAAGCAGTGAGGTAAGGGTGCCCAGCAGCCAACTACATTTCTTTCTGGGACATTAAATTTTTGCATGTAATAAGAAATTGGAGAAGGAGGCATGAGCATAACTCACCAGGACAGCCAGCTGCCTGCGGTCTCCAGCATAATAGCGTCTGGCATTTGGCCATCTGTCTGGATGAGGTGTCTTCCAATACACACACACACACACACAGAGAAGAAATCATAATTCAAATAGGATGCTGCACACCAGAAAGAAGCACATCCTAAAGCCACAGCTCTGATCTGATCAGGCTCGCGCAAGTTTGATATTAAGGTGCACTCTGCTTCTATGAAGGAAACTGAAATCAGTGAGACTACCCTTACGTGTGATTTTTTTGGTAATCCTAGAACTGAGATGATACAGGAAATGCTAGCAATAGCTTCCATCTGAAGAAATGAAGATGCTTTGTCAGAATTTTCAGGGATCAAATGTCTCCTCCTTCTGCCATCAGCTACTAATCAAAAATAGCACAATTTAAAAATTATGTAGATTGGTAGTGGGAGTCAAAGACAGAGAAGAGTCAGAAAGCTCTGAATTAGCACTTTGCAAGGTCTATATATAAAAAAGAAAATTTCTGAAAGAAAAATTTAAAATTCAAGAATTAAAGGCAGTTGAAGACCATAAGATTTCCGTGAATGTGGAATTCATCATGAAAAATCTTTGAGAATGACACTTTATCACCCTTAAAACAAAAATGTTAAATCCATCAAGGAAATGGAGACAACTTATAATTTCCACATTTTTAAAGTGCTTTGGATGTTTGCTGAACCTGACAATAACTTATTCACAAGAGAGCAAAATTAATTAGTAAAGGCTGTAGAACTACAAAAATCATGTGTATGATAAGCCCATAATGTTTGAAGAGAGGCTGAGAAAAGTGGGTTTGTTCATTTTTAAGAAGAGAAGACTCAGGGGGGATCTTGCTGCTGCCTTCAACTGCCTAATGGCTGCTATAGGGACGACGGAGCCAAAGTCAGCTTGGATGTACACAGTGAAAGGAAGAGAGGTGGAGATACAAGTCGCAACATGGGCTATTTCAACTGGGTATTTGGAAGACCTTGATCAAATATTGGGAAAGGGGCCCAGAGTGGTTGCAGAGCGTCCATCCTTGAACACTTTAAAACTTGACAAGGACCAGGCCTTCAGTAACCAGCTTTACCTTGGTCTGGTTTGCACAGTCGGTTGGACCTCCCGAGGCTGCTTCCAACCAATGCCATTCTGTGATGTTATGAACACCTGCAGTAGTTACTGACGGTGCCTTGTCAGCAATCTTAATGAGACATTTTTAAACCACAGCCTTTCAGAACCAAACACCCAAGACATTATTTTAGCTCCCTGCAAACTGTCTGGAAGCAACAGCTTTAAGTGCTCCCTGTTTGTTATGTAGTTTAGGCATGCATTTGAGAGCACTTTTCATGACTGCAGTACAATGGGTGTGGAATAGTCAGAGGACAGATTATAATGGATAAAGACAGCAGAAAAAAGAAGTGATTCTGGAAGTGAAATAAAGTAGCCTGCTGGGACCAGATAGGGAAATATAAAAGAAAGGGTCATGGAAAGGGAGAGTAGAAGCCGTAATACGGACCAAGGTTGAATGACCAAACTCTGCAAAGTTGGTTCAAGAGAGAGCTTCCTGGGGAATCTGAAGTCTAGATTTCTTGCAGTTAATTACTTAAAAATTATTCTTCCTTCTTATAAATAGTTCCTGTTATTTCTATGATAGCAATACCTGGACTTTTAACAACGTTATAAGCCTAACCTTAAAGGCTTTAGGGTTAAAATTTTAAAATCAGATTTTAAAGATCACAGAAATCTACCATACTTGTTATCCCTTTGTGATCTCCAAGCTAGGAATAAAAGACAAACCTACTATTTTGTGTAGCTCTTGAAAGTTCTTTGTAATGCTGTCAGTTGCCTTTTGATCGAGGTGAATTCTCTCTGCAGATTTTAGAAGGTGTCCTGTTAATCTCATTAGGTTTGGAGCGTGCTGGCCATTGTATTCACAGGTACTCCAAGGGATCCAGGTCATTTTTAGTGACAAGAAACTAGTTATTTGTAATAAGGCAGCTGCTACAAGCTACAAATATTAATATCCACAATCATGCACAGGCAAATGCTTTTTATGTACTGTATCGAGAGTGCAGACTAGGGAATGAGTGTTGTCTTGGAACTCACACTTCTTTGTTAAAATGATTTTGCGAGATGAAGTGATTTATTGATGCGCCTCAACACAGATGTGTTCCCTAAAATAATCATGCCATCAAATTGATAATTTTTTTTTTCTCCTTAGAAAGTACAAGACTCCTTGATGTCTACCTCTTCCTATTTGACGATTTCCTATTAATTACCAAAATTAAACGTAACAAAAAGGTAACAATGAATAGAGGTATTTGTGGTTACAGATGAGAATTGTGTTCTGCAGCTTGGCAAGTATTTTGAATGTACCTTGAAAGACTGATCTTTAAAAGAGAAAAATAAAAGGAGACTAATAAATGTGAAAGGTGACACTTGCTATAAAAATAGCGAACAGACACACTGATTCAAAATCCTGTTTCTAGATTCTGAATGTTGCAGGAGCACCATGATAAGCTGTTTACTTCACTAGACCTTAGCATTTTCTGATGCTGTTTGGTTGTGCTGTATTCCTACAGCTCAGGAGAGTTTTGAGAACGCAAGTAGTTTTCTAATGCTCCCTTCATCACTCAGACCAGTGATCTGAGAAATTTTTATTCCAAAAATGTCAGAATTGTTGAAAAGAAGTGGAAAATGGAGGGGAAAAAAAAAAAACAGATGGAAGCCTGGCTTTATTCTCATCTCTGACACAGCCCTATTTTATGTTGCCTCTTCATGCCTTGAATTCTTAAGAAAATACATTTGAATCTATTGATGAAAGAGGCTATGAAGAGAGGTCTATGTGAGATCAAACTCAGTATCTAGCCACCAAAAAAAGCACCGGACAGCTAGGAATTCCTCAAGCTCCGGTGTCAAAGGATATCTAGCTAATTAAGCTTATGAAGTTGCTGGAAAAGAAGGCAAAGAAGACCTAGCAGACCTGCTCTAATTTTCAAGAAGTTACTGCCTGATTTCAAAAGAGATTTTTTTTTTAAGGCAGCTGTTTTGCTTTTATATGAGATATTGAGAGGCTCCAGACCAGCAACACCCTTCCCTAGCTCTTGCTAAGAGGGAGGGAGTGGGCATCAAAGGGCCCAGGGCCCCCAAAGGAGGTTTTCAGAGGGCTGCATGCCCTCCTCTGCGAGGGCTGCTACCCATCCAGAGCCCCAGGAGCTCAACATCCTGGACACTCTGCAGGGGAGATGGGGCAAATGTTCCTCCCAAGAGGGGAGAATATCTCTTCCTGCTACTTTTGGAAAAAATAAAATAAAAATGAAAAGGAGGAAAAAAGACCTCTGAGTGTCTTGGGTTCATTCTTTTCCTGCCTGTGTTTCCATTATGCTTTTTTAACAAGTGGTGGGATTTCAGCAGATCAGAGGAGCCTTTCAAAAAAGTTCTGCAGTTGCTCAGACATAGAAACTGTCCTAGTACCTTTGATAGGAAAAAGCAAGTAGTTTAGGATTATTTAGCACCCAGGTTTTGGGATCAGAAGGTGGAGAGCCAGCTAATCAACTTCATTTCATCCTAGAAACATGGGGCCTCGGACACGAGCTCCATCCCTGCCTGTCCTTCCCTCACTCTGGAGCTGCAGTTGCTCGTGAGGGAGGGTGGGTTTTGCACAGTCCTCGACCAGCCCATCCCACTGGACAGGCTGTTCCTGAGAAACGTCGATCCCCTCCACGTAACAGGTACGTGCCATGCCTATTTGGATGGTTTTATAAACAGCAAGTTGATGCATTGCATATTTACCTGCTGCTGCTTCTCTCTGCTTGCTCACTTCCTTGCTGGCCCTTGAGCACATGGAAAACCATCACAAGTCATTTTTTCCTTGCTCATTGGGCTCCAGGACCTGCATCCTCATCCTAAGGGTGGGGAAGGAAAGTTCAAGGAGATGGAATACTTGGTAGAAAAGCAATAGATGTGGAAAATAACCCTAAAGCCCATAAAATCCATTATAACCTTGAAATGCAGTCACCCGGGCTAATTGGCATTCAGCACCAACGCTGGCAGGAAATCATGGTAGGGCAAATGACTAAAGATGAGGTAAGGGCTGCAGCACAAGAAGAATAACCTCCTTTTTAAGCAGACTCCAGACGCTGCCTGTCTGCCTAGCGTGCCTCCTCGCCAGCCCTGTGTAAATCAAGCAAACGAGCAGGCTGCTTTCCAGGGCAGTGCCGCTTTCCCGCCAGCGTCCAGAGCCGATACGACGCCGGCAGCTCTGGGTGCTGCGAGAACCGGGCACGGGGGCTGCGGGTGTCGCTCCCGCCCCGCCGGGCACGGACGCTGTGGCAGGGATGAGCAGGAGGATGAGCCTGCTGAATTCTTCCCACCTGGCGTTTGCTGCGTTCGAAGGCTGTGGCCAAAGCACGCTCCAAAGGATGTTGACAAAGATGACTGTAGATTGCACTGACCTTCAGTTCAGATTTCCAGCTTTCTGCCTAAAACAGCGAGCAAAACTGCCCATGTCACTGGAAAATGTTGCTCTGAAGAAAATATTAAAAGATTAAATATCCTCGAAAAAATCTGTGAGCTTGGGGAAGGCTGCTGACATGGCCTCAAGGAGAGGCCATGGTGGTGGTAGAAAACTAGCTAGCGGGTAGAAAGCTGCTCATACAGGGTAGCACACAGTTTGCAGTGATCAATCATGTTAATCCACAGTGAAACCCTGATTTTTGATCTTACAAGTAGGTTGCATCCATCAATTTGCTGAAGGTTAATCCTGCTTTGGAAGGAAATCTTGCTCAATACAGCGTCCAGGAAAAAAAAAGTGTGTGTATATATATATATTTGTATATACTGCAGCAATGTAGAAGGACCCTTTTGGCAGCAGGCCAGGTTGAGAATTATACCATATAATTGTAGGCTAAAGTCTGTCACATATCAGTAGAAGGCTAAGAGTATCATGGTATGCCCATAATGCCAGGAAGCCTGCCCTCAAGGCAGCACTATCTGCAAATACCAGGTATTCGTACAAGAGATATAACTTTATACCCAAGTGTATTCACAGGAATCCATCTCTGAAGAAAGTGAGCAGCAATACGTCTTCCAATTTGGAAGCTGCTTTACTTTTAACATTCTGCTTTGGATTTAATCTCTGCAATTTCTTATTATCAGTCCACTAAAAAACCTCCGCAGTAAAGTGGAATGAGGCAGACCCACTGATATGCCACTGTATCGAAGTCTGGTAATCTTTACTATTGCAGTTTTACTTCAAAAAAAAAAAAACACTGCTGAGAGCTGGTTGCTGAGCATTGCCCAGAAAAAAATCCTTTTTAGGAATATTAGACTAGCTATATTTCCCACTGACAAGACATACACACGAGTTCTGAAATACAGCCCCGCTGCTGCTACAAATTTCCTCTGCAGACTGTTTGGCCACATGAATTTACATGGCCCACACTTTACTTTCCTTTTTTTGTAAAATTGGGATCATATGGCACTTTATCTCATGGAAATATTTTTGAGATCTGACTGTAACGAAACATTGCAACAAAACATTGTACAGCAGCAAGAGAGTCTGTACGAGAACATGCCATAAGGGAAAGCACAGGAACCAGAGAAGGGGTTGTCCCAAAGACCTTGTAGCTATAGCAGCCTTGAAAAGAGGTTGGCTTGCCTGGGCTGGACAGGGGAAGAGCAGGTCCAGGGCCACCCTGTATTTACAGCAACTTGTGCTCCTGCTTTAAAATAATCAATGTTGTGTGAATCTGGGGATTATACCAGAAGGATGTCCTCTTGGCCTGAGAGACTGGTGAACTTCCCAATAGCATAGTTATTTAAAAATTAAAAATAAAAAAAAGAATTCAAACAGAATTAATATTTTGAAATGAAATAGGGCTTTGCACACACACACACACCAAAAAAAAAAAAAAAAGACCCTCCACGAGGGTGCATTGCTCGGTTTAAAATCAGAAAATATGATTAAATATATCACTTTTACAATCAATGTGGTGGAAAACTGGAGTGACAGTTACATGAAGTAATTTATATTATTTCTCTGAATTTTTCCATAGTCTTCAGCCTGCGAAACGCTTTCCTAATACAGCATGAAAACAGGTATGGGCAGTGCATAGCAGTTTTCTTGCTACAAGCACAAACTGAGACTGCCAAGGTAAGTACCCCTTTCTTTTTGCTTTTTAGTGACCCAAAGATGTTTTTTTTTCCAAAGAAAGCCTTCAGCCTGGGCAATATTGTACTAGTGATGTAGCCAGGTAGTTACACTTGACCCAAACAACACGAAACAAAGCCCCCCACCTCAGTTTGCTGGCTCACATTTTCTATTTTTTATAGAAATTTTCCCGTTGAAATTGTGTCAATTTTATACCAAGGCTGATAGCAGGTCCTGCTCTCACTTCAGAAGATTTTCACTCCTGATTGCTAAAAAATTCCCAGTTTTGGAATGTTGTCCAGCATAAGAGGAACAAGGCCAGTCAGCCCTCCAGAGAAGTGAAAGCCTCCCCTGGACACAGTCATGCCTGGCCCAGAAGACTTCACCAGGCTCCTCGAAACACAAAAAGCATCTCCCACTTTAAATTTTATCCTTAGGAATAAAGCACAGTAGATGGATTTTTTTCAGGGTGAAGCAATGAGTGTTTCTCGTTTGTGTTTCTAAGTCACTGGTTCGTACTTGAAGCAGGTAACTGCTCGGGGAGTAGTCTCCTCCTCTCCTGTTACTGAATCATTACCTGGCCCTTCCAAAGCTGTCTTCCCCCTAAGGCGGTTCCAACTTTCCAACGTCTCACTATTTCAGCCTGCTGGGCAGCAAAACCCTCTCATTAAGGCTGTTTTCCCATGAATGTGGTAACATTACTGCATTCTCTTGTCATCAGGCTCTCTCCGATCCCCTCAGAAAGGCTGACTTGTCCTGCTCCCAAACCCAGTGCTGTCAGTATAATGCTAGAAACTGAAATTCAATGCTTGTTTCCACAGACCATCCAATTTAAACAACTAACAGGAGGAGTAAATTACACCTTATGTGACAGCGCGTCACAGATATGTCAGGGAGAAACACAGCTCGTGGTGTTGACAGTACTTGAGCTGCCCTAATCAGCACAACAGGGAGCCTAAACTGCAAGAATAGATATTATTAAATTAATGTTTGTTACACAGAATTAGGGTGAAGCCTGTAGCAAACATCAAAGTTTCAAGAAATCTCCACTTGCAAACTCTGGCACAAGACAGAAACTTTCACACAAGTGGCATTAGGAAATGGGAGAACTGAGGCTCTGGGATCATTCATGTTTTCTTCGAGAATTATGAGCATGAGCCTAAAGAAACATAGAGTAGGATTCAAGGCTATGATGTTTATGTATCTGAATTAGCAGATGTTTTCAGTTTCTCTAGGATTACAAAAGATTTCCTTCTTGTTACAGAAAATGTGGATGTCACAGATAGAAACTGCAATCTCCAATAGCACCAAACAACATGAAACCAAGAAAAGAACCATTTTCTGCTTCCCAGATGAATCCTCTGGAATTTAATGTCAGCACAACACTGACAGATCCAGTGGGAGACTACTGTGAAGATAACACAGTTACTCCTTCTGACATTCCTTAAGTTTCTGAAAGCTATGGACTTCTGACTTGACTAGACAGGTGGTGAATTTTAATCAAAGGATCTAAGAATAAATCGGAGAGGGGCAAATGAGGTGCACAACAAATGAATCCCTCTTGGATGCTCTTTTGCGTCAGCCAGAAGAAGGCTCTAGCCACCCAGGTAAGTTTTAAGAGAGCTCATTGTTTCCTAGAAAGCAGGACAGGGAAAAACTATGTTAGCCAGGAAAACACATTCACTAGAAAGACCTAGAAGAGTTTTTCAGAGCTTCTTCAGACTGTATTAATAAATTTCACAAAATCCAAGCTGTAGGAATCTCTCTGACCATAGCTTGCCATAGTTATCCCTATTTATCTACTGAACTGTAACATTATAAGATGATATGCACATTAACAAGGTGCCTGCTAAGGTAGATTTGTAAAGGCAAATATTGTGTTGGTTCTTATAAACTTCCAAAATGAGAAGATAATTTGAGTGTCTCCAGTTCCTTTGAAAATTTTCTGTTCCTGTAGACACGCTAAAATATATATGTGTGTATGTGTATACACAGAAAATAAAGTCCAAAGGTGTCTGGCTTTCGCTAAGGTGAATATAGGAGATTTTTTTACCTGAAGTTTTTTCATCACTTAATCATCAACAAATTTGTCAGATTATAGATTGTGTATTCTCAGTCCATCATTAGGCTTTGGAGTTCAATTTGTTCTTTCTTGTCCTTTCAACTTTACTTCAACAAGTTAAGCATCATCTTTTGCACTAAACCATTCAATATTCCCCTGCTACCCCACGTTTGCAGTCCACATCACAAGAGCATGCCCTTTCTAAACACTTTTTTTGAGACATACTAAGAGATACTAATAGAGCATCCCTTCCCCTAGAGAAACTCTTCCCCTCCAGAGACCCCTGCTCTGCAACTCCCTGCTGCAACATTCATGCAAGTTACTACTAAGAGAACGGGAGACATGTGGCCACTCTAAATGACTCTCTCCTCCTCCATCCCTAACATTAAAGAAAATGTAGTCTCTACTTCTTTGATGTTGGAAATTATCTCACACTGAACTAAACAGAGAAGCCACGCAGCCGAGGACTGCCCCGAAGAAGCTGGGTATCCACTCCCACCATGGGAAGTCAGCAAGCCTCCTTAGCACTCGCCTTTGCTGAAGAAGCAAACGAGTCACAAGTCCAGGTGTGGCACCTAAACCAGCTCCTCAGCAGTAACCCGCTGGGATGTGGTGGTGCCTCCTACCCCCGCGAGCTGGCTCACCTTAGCATGTGGGCCAAGGATGCCCCATGAGTCAGTAACCTCTTTGTCATGGGGCTGATTGCGCACAGCTAAGTCACCAGGTTGCACCCTTAAAGAGACTTTCCTCCTAATGTTCTTCCATCAGTCTTAAGAACAAAAACAGGCACTTCTGAGTCTGTCAGTTATACAAACTGTCAGACTACCTCAAATGTCATATGTGTGAAGACAAATTTTAATTGAACCTGGATACCCAGCAGCCATAAGCAGTTACCTGGAATGGAAAAAGCATCCCAAATTAAACTTGTGAAAACGAAATTTGAACAGCAGCTTCTACCACTGTGCCTCGTAACAGGGAAAGCTCTTGTTGCAGCCCCCACCTGACCAAGAAATTGGAAAGTTTAGCCTGTTCTCAAGTGTGTGGCTTTGCAGCAGTTCATCAATGCATTCACCATCTTAAAATAATTATGCTGCTTGCAGCGGGGCAAGAGAGTTTTGAATGACAGAACTGGTCTATTAGAAAGGTCTAACTTTTTTATTGTCATTCATCATTCCTTTAACAGATTAGAAAACAAAAATTACATTTCAATAACATTTCGTTGTTCTTTATACAGAGCTGGTAGATGCATGGTGTCATTTTCTTGTCCAAACCCACAGCCACCTTCCAAACTGCAGAGTTTTGGATTTACAGTGCACACTGGACTAAACTCTTTCACAACGTAAGGCACAACTACATGATCACGAGCAGTAAACACAAACATTGAAAATGGGACATAAAGAAGCAAACTTCATTTAAAAAAAACCACACACACTCATGCAGAAATCTATCTACCCCTACGAAGATGGTTTGATCCAGTTTAAAAGTAGTGCAGTATTCTGTAGGTAAAACCGCATCATAAGGCTATTATAATACATTACCTCTAAATATTGGGTAAGACCTTAAAACTTTTTCCATTCATATATTTATACAATTATACAGAAAATAAGTCATATGCGCAATATTCACATCTGCAATAAGAAACTGATCATTAAAATTCAGAAAGGAGGCAAAAAAAGAGAACACAACTTGTGGCACGCATCCATCACAGCCTACCATTCATCAAGTTCACATCTTGAGTACTGAAGAAATTTTTTAAAAAAAAGACAGACAAAATTATTGGTTCATTTGGTGAATGAGACTTTCTATAGCCAAATGACAAAGTTGTATCCAGAATTCTTGTTACCCATGTTATTACGCAGCAAACCATGATTATGAAAGCTTGTGGTTATGATTTATTTATTGTCCAGCAGACAGTTTGCAGGATTGAAACTATAGAGGTTAAACAATATGGAGTTTACGATAACTTGAAACCATTGCATACTTGCAAACACATACACAGAGACTTCTTTTTTTCCTTTTTGGTGATAAACTTTTGCAATTTGGCATTCACTACACTCTTACATAACATGACAGTGAGCAGACCATTTAAACTAACCTAATGGTTGAATTTCACACTAAGAGGTAGTTTAAATAAAATTGTATGTAACGGCATCAAATGGTGGGCTTGTATTTTTTTTTCTTTTTTCTTTTCTTACAAAAGTGACAAATCCTATACAAGCAGCATTTTGAAAACACATTACTACAAAAAGTTCTGGTATCTGCTATCATGCCAGTGAGACATTCTCTTAAACATCCCTTTCGCGGCAGGAGCTGGGATTTAGCGTGACAGAGCAGAGCCCTCTGCAGCAAACCCAACAGCAGGAGCCTGGACCCGCCGGTCTTAGTGACGTTGTACCAAAAGGGTTAGCAGGGTTTGGTAACCTTCAAACGCGTCTTCCCTAACCGAGTGAGCAGCTCCTCCTCACGGGTGCAGTGAGTGCATAGCGCGTGGTGCGCTGCACACGGGGGCAGAGCTAACCACGCTACACGAGGAGCTATCCACTACTGTCCTCTGAAGTGGCATCTATTTTTTTCTCTCTCCAGACCCACACACACACACACACATACCTTTATTCAGTGTTCCTTAAAATGAAAGCAATAACCCAAAAGAAGAGTTTCTGAAGAGGGATTTTACTACCTAATTATTGCTGTTTTTGAAATCATTTATTGTTTCTGGAGAAACACAGCGGATGGACATTGATTTTAAATTTATCCTAGAAGAAATGTTGAGGTCAAGACTTCGAAAATTTAAAACTGGACAGCAGGCAAGGGCTTTGAAAATACATTCTGTTCACATACTCTATTTCAAATCTTCAAATGAAGCTCCACAAAGACAACGTGTGCGTGACTACATGAATTCTGTTGTTACATATGCTCTCAGGTGACAATTTCATCCAAAGAAATTATGCAGGGACTGGTGTCATTCAGTGAAAAAGATAAACTTTCTGTGTAATGATTACAACTAACACACACCATTCCACTAGCTGTGGATCATATGCAGTTAAGTTAGACAGCAAAAAGTGCACAGTGCAAGTGACAGTGTTGTTTCCTTGTCTTCCAGGGATATATGAGAGTGGGAGGAGTATTTTAGCAATCAGCTTCAAAATATTCAAACCACAGTATCATTCCAGAGGTTTTTCTTCATCTTCTTGACGTAGTTTATGTTCTGTTTGAACTTAAGCTCCAGCAGTTTTCTGTCAGCAACCAATTGCTGGTCATAAATTTTTAAGTTTTGCATAAAGCATTTGCTAACACTTTGTTTTTAACCGACATCTAAATCTAGAAAAGTGCCTGAGTTTTCCAGTTCCCCTGTTCTACAGGAAGGCCACTTCTCTTACTTAAATCTAGTACATGAGACTTGATCCTTCTTGCGAATGTAATACAAACATGGCAAGGCTACTTCACTCTTCCGCTCACAAACCTCTACCTGCTTCACTCAGAAAGGTTTTCCATAATCCATATCCATAATCCATAATCCATAATCCATATCCATAAACCTGCTTCACTCAGAAAGGTTTTCCAGTAAGGATCCATAAATAATCCTAGTCACCCCCAAAAGCAACAAAAATTGTTATTCATTGTTCTTGTGGACCCAGCGCTCTGCAATCCATGACAACTCGGTTACTCCTTGCCTCCAAAACCAGGAAAAAAATCACACTGTGCTCTCCAGTCAGACTTTGCAGAGTCTGAGTTCCAGAGAGTGCAGCCAGCTGAGAAATGAGCTCCCTCCAAACCCACAGCCTCTTGCCTCTGCTGGAAGCTGCAGAACGACATTTCTTTTGGCTCTTCATGGGCAGCAGTTTTTCCTATTGCGACACATGAATTTCATCCTCTTTCTTCAGCCCTTGCAGCAAGGGGACGATTTTGGGAAGGGAAGGAGTATGAGGGCAGAAGCAGGGAAGCATATCCAGCTGCGATCAGAAGCCCACCACTCAGCCCTGCAATGCTCTGTGCCTCCGTAAGAATTGCAGTATAGAAGGAGAACAGAAGGATTTAGCATTTTGAAAGTGACAAGAAAGGACATCACACCTCTGACTGGGGAAAGATCCAGCATCTCCAAGAAGACTCCCTCAACAAGAACATCCTCACACTGCTCAGACGGCCTCCGCAGTTCGCCTTGGTCCACACAGCAGGCAGTTTCTTGCATTCAGTTTCTTCAGCCATTCCAATGGTCCCTTCTGTGGGACACCGAATCCAAAGTTGTAAAAACAAATCCCACACTTCATTGTCCCATTCCTGATGGGACAGTAAATTATAAAGCAGCACAAGAAGCCTACATACTCACTGGTTTGAGCTGTGGTTTTTACCATTTTTCTCCATCTCTTTCTCTACAATCACTGTTTCCTCGGTGAATCACCACAATCTGGTTCTTGCTGCTGAGACTGTTAAAACACATCCTCAAACTTTCTCTCATCTCTTCTGCCATTTTATTAGTTTTTTCCTCTGTTTCTGGTTTTTCAATCTGCAGATCAGTATTTAAAACTATTTTGCCTGGAATCTTTTAAATCAGTGCAGTAAAATCAACCAGACCTTTTACTAGTTTTCTCTCTTATTTATTTTTTAAAGCAATGCAACAAGCAACCACATATCCACTGACAACCTATCTATGCCAACAGCCCATCAAAACATTCAGAAGCTGCAGGGAAAATTGTAACAGAGCTTTTCTCCTTCCAATTTCCCTTCTTATGCATCTCATGGGTCATTTTACTGAGCTTTTGCACAACTTCTAACCTGGCAGACAGACTGAGAGCATGATTTGGCCTATTATGCCACTAACTCGTTAATGAATACAGAGCAGCACGGAGAATCATAAGCACAAAGGAAAGAGCAAAAAAATAGCAATGGAGCCATAAATTTACTCCAGTGAAAAGCTGCAGAACTCTGAAACTATTGCAGATTCAAACTTCAAGGATGAAAGCTTCTACCCAGCACTCTGTTCCTCATTTTAAAAACCCAACAACCCTTCTTTCTATAAACACGCTTTTTAAAACATTTTCATTCCCTCAAAAAACTGATCATATAAACCAGCCAGCAAAATAAAAAGAACAACCTTCAGAAATCAAGCTGACTTTGTCACTGAAGGTGGAAGCTCCGGACTGAAGGTTGTTCTGCTGCCAAACAACCCCACTGCTTCCCCCACCAGCCGAGGGGACCTTGCCTGCCACCACAAAGGCTTCATAAGCATCTCAAAAGGCAGAACTGAGAACAACTCTGCTTGAGCTTCTACCATTTCCTCTTTAGGACAGAGCTCTCTCCTCGAGTGCAAATGCACCAGATCAGAGGTACATTGCTTTAATACAGGCAGTCTCTGAGCCATTTCCCTTAGTCTCCTTGAGAGCCTTCCAGCTTCCTCTGCCTCATGCACTTTACCTCTCACACAATCATGCAGGTGGTTTTCTCCTCCCTCTTAAAGTCTCTTTTGCTCCACGTGATCATCCTTCACACACCAGGCAGCACTAGCATCTCTGCTGCACAACAGGACGTAGCAGTACCCGCAGCAAGAGTGTGGCATCTGCACCCTTGCTAGTGTCCCAAAGTCAGGGGGGAAGACGAGGGAAGGCTTGAAACCCATCTCTCCAGAGGCAAGGATTACGCCGACCAAGAGAAATAATGAGTCCAAGGGCTCTGTTAATCCGGATTTCTTGAAGCAATTATTTCTGTAGAGGAGGCAATTTTCAAGTATATACCTGCGCCAGAAATGCTGGTAAATACTTTAGATAAACCTTGCTTGTGTTACAAGCCTTTCCACGGCCAGAAGAACCAGCTATGCACTTTGCACATCAGCAGCCTTTTCAAATGTACAAAAATGTACAACAAACTTCTCTGTAAGGAGGAAAAAATGGGTGAAAATTATATAAGGAAACTAGGAAGGGATATGAAGCAGAGATCACTAAATCTGGGGAAGAGGAGTTAAGCCATCTTTTCGCTTAAGAATTAGGCAGGCCTAGATATTTTTTATAACAGAGACTCTCTATTCACAGAGTGCTACCAATAGATAAAAGCAAACTAACCTGCCTAAAGAAGGCTAAGCTGCCATCACTGTAACAGAATTTGTTTTCTTAACTTGGGCAAGAAATAGAGGATTTCAGGCTGCAGTTCTTCTCTTGGAACACTCAGCACAATATTCTAAGATAGAAAAGGTCCTGGACAAGTGGATGATTTAACTGGATTTTCAAGACAAAAGATTCCTTAATATTTGAAAGAGTAACCTCATCTCAAAAGAAATATCCCTAATGGTTTTGTGGTACCAGATACCTATTTTGGAAGGGGAAAAAGTTAGAGACAGATAGGTAATGAAAAATGGGTGCATATAAATCAGGAAAAAAAAGAGGTTTGGGTGAACTCTGTCAAAAAAGTCTGTTGCAAGAACAGAGAAAAAAATATGAACAAATGTCTAAAAACATATATTTACAGAGAGAGAGACCAGAGACCCCTCTTAATTGGAGCTGTTTGGCTTATAACTAAGCCAGCAGCAGGAGATTCACACTACTCCTCTGAGCAGACTAAATCACAGAACTAACATACCAGTTATAACCTGCGAAGAAAAGTTCAGCAACACAAGTTCAGATGCAGCAGCAGAAAAATCAGGTTTGTTAGGGGTAGTATGAATTCAACTTCTTCCAGCAAAAGATGGAGGAAGGGATGGAAGTAGAGATCAGAACAACTGCACCAGTCTCAGAATGTTTTAGCATGCTGGCTACCTAGCATGGAATTTCTACGTGTCTCAGAAAAATAATGTCTTCCTTTGGCTTCCAGAGTATGGGCAATGGTTCAGATGGGGTACAGGATACTATAAATAAAGTTTCTTTGCTTTTTAAGATGTGTATATGAGGGTTTTTGGACTATTAAATTCCATTCATCAAATATGCAGAAGTGAAATCAATTAACATGGGAGAGCTTCATATAATATTCCTATAACGGCAGCTAAACTCTCAGCATTTGTTCACACCAATTCTCTCAAACACACAAAGAAACGATGCAGTACAGTATGTGCACAGATATTCCAACATCCAGGTGCTGTACTTGGGTAAGGACATAGGTGCTGGTACTGCAACGAGTTCTGCGCTCACAGACCAAACTCTGAGTTGGAGGCGAGTCCTGCTGTTCACCCTCATTGTGGAGCTGAACTTTACAGAAATCCCAAGAACAAGAGAAAAAAAAGAAAACAAAAATCACAAGGGATTGTAAGGAACATCAGCTATGCAATCAGATGCAACAATTAGTTATGCCATTACAGCAACACTTGATACACAAAATCCTCACAGATTTTTGCATCTTCCTTTTTCTTTGAAGGAAAAAAGAATAAACTGCAATATCACATAAACGCTGTTTCTCTTGAACAAAAGAAAAGATAAAAAAATACATTGTTACTCCTCTGTTTAAACTTTATTTACAAATAACTGGGTATTTCTTTCTAGACATAGAAGCTCTTTCCAGGATAAATGGCAATAAGCTATGGATGATCTGAGCCCATGTCTCACAAAAAATACAATAGTTTTACTTGGTATCAATAAACATTTCAAAATATACTAAATTTTGCCAAGTGTTACAATCATTGTCTGAACTGAATAGTAGTCTGAGTGCGGAACGAAGTGCATCGACAGAAATTCTAAACTTTACTGTAACTTATCCTTGTTGCTCAAGGTAAGCCAGTTATCCTTGCAAGTCATTAAAGCAAGTATCACAGACCCGGACAGGCTTCTTGGAAGAGGGAGTTAAGGCATTCTTTGCTGAGCACTCAGCACAAAAGATATTTCCACATTTTCTACAGTGATGCTGTGAAAGAGAAAAAAAAATATACATGCTGAACATCAACTACACTGTAATGGGAACAGACCATTAATAGAGAACATTATCACATCAAGTCAACTCTCTTTCAAAAGTTAGTTCAAATTTTTAAATGTAAGTAAGAGTAACATAACCCTTTGGGCTTTTCCACGCACAGAAGGGCACAGAAAAAAACCCTTTCCTAAGGGCAAAGAAGTAAAATATTCAGGAGCACCTCACAGATTCAGGAGACTCTGTGCCACTTTCAGGAATGAGCTGGGTCGCTTGCGAACATCACTAGCTTAGGCACTTCTTAAAGCTGTCCTCTTGAACTTATTTTGGTCCCCTAAAACATAATCTTCCTATGGTTTATCAGCTGCTTCAAACTGGAAAGTACTCTTGAACCAGAGGAACCAACTGTTTTTGTTCAAAGGTTCCCGATGGACAGCGCTACAAAAGATGCAGGACAGGCTGAGCCACCTAAGCCTGAGCCAGGGAGCACTGCAAAAATGAACCTCATGAACACCCCTCATCTGCTTCACTGCCAGAGCAGTTGTTGGAGGGACGCAAACCTTCACTGACCACAGAGGTTTTTGCAAAGAATATGTGACTCCACACCTAAAACCTAGCCAGCTGGTCTGTTCCCTGTCTAACTTGCATTTAGTAAGATTTAGTCACAGAGAACCAGACTACACTGATGCCTCATATATTCACATGCATCTGGTTTCAACAGATTTACATTTCTTTATAGCTGTATATTCACTCCAGACATAAACCTTATTTTTAATATTTAAAGCACTATAAAAAATTAGTGCTTTGAGATGCACTATCACAGCATTTTTAAATAACTTTTTAAAATTTGTATCTGAAGTAAAAGAGATTGAAAGCAACAGAAAAAAAATCCCATAGAGACATAGTAAAATACACCTACCCTTCTCACTGTCACTGAAAAGCCTTTCCCACAGGCCATACAGTTCTGTACCTCATTGTCTTCTGCCCATTTCCTATTCAGAGCTTGAGTTTGCTTGATCTAAATACATATACACAGAAAAAAAAGGCAAAAATTTAAAACGAATGTTTAATTCATTAGCTTTCTTCTATTGCTTTGGACAAGCTACTCAAAACTGCATAAAAGGAGAAATTCACCCACATTACTGAGAGGTGTATTTGTTCATGAAGAAAATCTTTCCAACTTTGAATCATGTTGCAGACAGCAACATGAACATAAGATCTCAATCACTCTTGAAAGATAACCCACCACTGATACAACACAAACTTGAAATTCTCATGAGTTCCGCACACACAGCATCAATAACTTACTGGCTTCAAATCAAACTCTACCTGTAACGACTGGTTTTCTCGGCCTAGCTCCTGCATTGCAGCCGTAGTGTTGTCCAGCTTCTTCTTCATTTCTACAAGTTTGGTTTGAAGCTTTTCAATTTCTCCCTCACTTTTTATACACCTGGGGATGGACAGTAAATATTTCAGAGCATATAAAGCAATCCACATTGCCTCCTTCAGGAAGGCTGTCGTAACAGAGAAAGAAATTCACTCTCAGAAAACTCACTAAAAATACCCTTGTTAGGAAAAGTTCTTGAATATCTCAGGAAAATACTCTGATGTAACAGTCAATTTGAGATTATCTGGAATTAGTCCCAAGTTTCTGAGAATTATTAATATCTGGTGTTACTTGCAAAACCAATCCATCAACAGCAGGCCCTGGTAAGCACCACTGCACAACAGGACACAAAGCTGGTGAGGGAGAGGAGCAAGGAAGAAACCTTTTTACAAGGCCAGCCCCCACTCGCTGAAATTTGGTTAACTGGAAAAAGGCTAATTTCAAAAGGTATTCTTCTGTTATACTGTAAAAAGAAAAACAGTTAATAGATAAGTACAACATGACACACCAACATATTGCTGAAGAACAAGGATCTCAGATGAACTAATCTCAGCCTTACACAAAGTCTAGTGCTCAAAACCAATCAGAAGGTTTGACAGTAGAGAAAAAATATTCCATTCTACCTTCAAACATCTCAGGATACAAAAAAAATAAAAAATCAAGGATGTTTGCCTACCAGGTGTTTTTTTCCTACCCTCTCTCTGGTAACACTCACTACATTGCATTCGCGATGCTTAAAGAAAAGGAGTTCTACTTAAATGAATGTTCATAAATATAGTCCCGAGACAATTTAAAAATGACAGAAAGTAAGATTTTAGCTTTGCAAGAAGAAAAAGATACTTGACGTGAACCTTAAAAAGTCTGTCTAACCCAGTACATGTTCAACCTCCCAGCGCAGAGCAGTGGGCACACTTAGAAGTCCATAACTTTTTTACTATTAAAGTCACTAAACAGTTCCAGACTTCTGGAACAGACTAGTGCTTGTATTCCGATTCATTCAAGGCAGGGGAGTCTCTGAGCGACAGATAAGGGGAGTTTACTCAGGTAATGGCAGTCCCCTTCACCCCATTAGACCTAGTAAGGTGCACACAGTAGATGAGACGAGAAGTCACGGCCTACCCGCCTCAAAGCTCAGAGGTGTACCATGCATTTAGGAGGCTCCCAGGGATGGGCAAAACTCCCCGAGCACACGGGTACAGCTGTGGCTTTGGTGCCAAGTAAGGCCCTGCCTGACTTTGTGAGGACCTGTCCAAGCCCACAAAGTGCAGATTGTTGAAACCGCAGTTTACTGGGCTCTGGCAGAGACACTCGAAGAAAGCTGCACCCTGGAAACCACAGCCCAGTTCTACGAACAGAAATGCATCTAAACAGAGCACGCACGCATAACCCTAAGTGAACTGAAAGACCGTTTCCAAGTGAGGCTAACCAGTTCCCAGCTACCCTTCCACGTCACTGTGGCCACAGCCTACCTCTCCAGCAGCGCTCTTCTCTCATCCTGATTATTCTGGACCGTCGCTTCCAGGACAGCTATGTCCCCACGTAAATCATCCGTCTGCTTCTCCAGCTCGCTCACTCTCCGCTGACTGCTCTGCCACTCTTTCTTCATGGTAGCCAAGTTTTCATTCAGAGCTGTGACCTGCATGCTCAGCTTGGTCTCTTTTTCCTCATGTTTCCGGTTTTCTTCTTCTTTATCTTTTATCTCTGTGTTCTGAGAAAACAAGGAAATACTGAAAAACAACAACCTTCCGACTGTCAGAGGCCTTAGCTGTGCTGGGCAAAAACATTCTCTCTTCTTTATCGTCAATTCTGGCAGTTATTTAACTGGTATGTCTGCAAATTTCTTTAGACATTTTACAGCTAGTGACGATCCAGGAATACTTTAATAATGGAATATTTTTTTCTTAAAAATGAAAGATTCTTTCCCAATATACCACACTATAAACATCCATTTTAACTTACTAACCCTGCTATACATGACCATCATCCTCCTGAATTCCCCCTGTGCTATTTTATGTCTTACAAAAGATTTTTGAATGTATTTGATCTTCTCATCTAAAAATGAAAGCGATGTGAAACTAAAGTCAGCTCTTTGCTCCCTCTCTTCCCCTGAAAGAATACAGAGGCATATTTTTCAAAGGAACAGTCCTAAAAACTCTAAAATACTAACCAGTTTAGCTTCAATTTCAGCACATTCTTTCTTCAATTCTTCTTCTCTCTTTTTCAGATGATCTTTGATAGCTTGTTGGGCTTTTTTTTCCTGTTCTAGTGCTGAATTTATGTTATCTACTTTGCCCTGCAGTTCTAATTTCTGTTGAATCAATAATTGCTTTGCATCCTTGAGATTTGTCACCTCCTGTTAGGATACAGAGTTTAAAGTTAGAGTGGAATGTTAAGTGTTAGTAATTTACACCTATTGTTCATAAGCCTATGCTATGAACAATAACTAATTTTTAAATAAACTTAATGTACTTTCCACTAAAGTAATGGAAGCTCTGTTAAATTGTTTTCTACATATCTTTCAAGCAGCCACACCATTTTCACTGTTTTTAAATGTATTTCATACTCTCTCCACATGCAAAAATCAGATTAAAAGCATCATAGTGACAATATAAAAAACAAATACTGATTGAAAATCTCAACATGCTAATTTCTATTAGTCCTAAATGCATAAATATCTACTCTATGTTTTAAGTAAAGAAGGATGATACTTTTGTTTTTAAATATTTGTTTTATTTATTTCTCTGCAATAAAAATAAGAAGCCCTAAATGGAATTATTCTAGTTAAGGAAAATTATTCTTACAAAATTTGAAATTTGATTGCCAAGCACGCAGGTACCAATCAAACAGCAAGAGCTGCCAGATTTTCTGTAAACCAGAACTGCCAGCAGAAATGTAAAACAAGTCAAAGGCAGGGACTCTGGTAGGAGATTGGAAATAAAGAGTATAGGCCTGTAGAGATGATCTGTATTTTAGCCCAACTGCTTGTATAGACATCAAGAGATGAATATTAAGCTGCCATGAACGTGCACACACTTTATATACATCTTTGTAAATTGTTTCTTTTTTTTAGGAGAGGGATTTCAGCAAGTGATGAAAATTATAATTAGCTTTCCCAAAATCCAAGAAAAGAAAGACTGGGTAAAAATTGCTTGACAGAAAAAAAGTGACTGACTTCTCTCTCCAAAAATAAGAGATCACTTTTTAAATACTGGAAAACAAAAGAACATCAGAAACTCATAAAATATTGTGTTACTTCCTTTTCTTTATTAGCACATAAGCTTAGAAGACAGGGACTGTACCTTCACTTATACTTGTGCAGCAACTTACACACTGCACTTAACAGATGCAAATATAATTACTAATACTATAGTATGGAAGAGACAACAACAGTCTTTTAGGACTGTTGTTTTCCACAGAGAGTAAAAAGGGAAATATGTAGAATGTAAAAAAGAAATTGTTCTACAGAAGACTAAAAATGACTTAATTAAAACCACCAAATTTCTCCTCTTCAGAGAGCTCATTTGATCATTATGGTTTTGGAAGAGTTCTGGGGTTTTGTTTTGTTTTTAATGAAATTCCTAGTATAACATTTTTTTCCCCAAGAGTGATTTTTTGTACACTTTAGAAACCATAGCTCATCAAGGGAATTTCAGTTCCAGCACACACAGTTGAGAAGTACCACATGTGCCTACAGTATCTAAGAAACTTCAGACTTCATAAGTGTCATAACTTCATGACACTTTTAGACATCTTTTCTGCACTGCAGAATGGCAATCAAGGGTATTCACAGTGAATCTACAATAAAACAGAGGGAAAAAACAGGACATACAGTGCACCCCTGAAGTTAAAACAAGTTATGTGGTCCACTTGCCCAAGAAAACTGGGCACCAGTGCTCCAGGATTATCACTAATCAAGTCAGCATTGCTCAGGAACCACAATGAAATCTGTGCTTTGGTTCCCTTACCTGTAATATTGATATTTACAGCAACCATCTTTGCAAAGCAAATCCAGATTACATCTACTGAGTAGGTACATATTTCTTATCAGACAACCAACCACCTGAAGATTCAGTTTGTCTCAATATACCTTCTCAAATTCTTGCTTGCAGGTTCTAAGCTCTTCACTCAGCTTGGTACTTCCTTTTTCAAGTCTACTCCTTATTTCCTGGAGCTCTGTTGTTTTACATTTTTCATTAGCCAAGTCTTTCTCTTTCAAAATCTTGAAGGGAAATCAGAAAACATATGAGGAAAAAAAAAAAAGCCATGCAGCACCAAAAATCCATGATTAAAAGTTCCAAGCAAGCAGACAACTGCCTTATATCACAATTCACAATTAATAGTGCAGACAACTGACAACACATTTACACATTAAAGTTTAAAACTCATAAAGCTTTTTCCCTATTTCTAGCGTTTCAGAACAAATTAACAAACTAATAGACAAATTAACAAATCAGACAAACTAATAGACTAATTACCAAAATAACAGACTAATTTAAACCTAATTCACTTCAACTATCTCTTAAAGTCTTTAGCAACAGAAACACTGCCTTTCCCTCAGGTATTCACAACATTAGTGCTGTATGTCAAAATCACTTGTTAAAGATGTACCAGGGGTTAACTACAAGAGGTGCAGGTGTGGGTGAAGATTTCAAAAGACACGTTTACCTTGTCATTCTGAAGATCCTGTAACATTTTGGTCTTCTCACCCAGCTGCTGCTCCTTCTTTGATAAATCCTGTTCTAGCGTAGACTTCACTTTCTTAAGTTCCTGGATCTGCTGGTTACTGCTAGCAATTCGATTTCTGTTTGAAACTAATTCTTCCTGAGCCAGAGCAAGTTTTTCTTCTGTAGACTAATCATAAAGACAACTCTGCAAATAATCTGTCAGCAGAAGAGCTTCAAGCACTCTATAGCCATTTAAATATTTTCTATGTATCCACAGAGAAAAACATTATCTAATATGTAAAACAGCCTCAAGTTTTGTCAGTCAAATCAGAGAAATGTCTAGTTTAAAAAGACCTCCCCAGTAACAACACCAAGATCAATAGTTTAATGTACATTATCCAGTTTTGCCTCCCTTCACAGACAAAATATATAGATATACACAAGAGCAGAGCAAGGAGAGAAAGCAAGCAAGCTGTCTAAGGAAAAGAGAATAGACTAAGTATAATATATATCTAATATATATATATACACTTATATATATATATATATATAAAATATATATAACATATATGAAAGTATATTTTATTTTCTGGGCAAATCAACTGTGTTATAGTTCCAGAGAATGAAGCAGTGAAGCTGGAGCATGAAGATTTCAGAAGTCACTCAGTGACATTTTATTTATCAGTTACTTAATGGAGGAAGAACTAGGACAATCATGGAATTTTTGAAAATCCTAAAGTAAATTGTACAACCTAAGAAATGTACTATGCGGACAAAAGGTTTCACAATCTCATCTCATTTTAAATACACTGTTTAAACTTTCATTCAAAATCCTCTATATACTATTTTAATTGACATCTAATGTCACCATTACTTAGAATATGGAAGTACCTCTGCACAACAGACAGGAAACCCCAGGTAATAACATGAAGCTTGCACCCACGACTCTTTTCTATTTACTTAGAGTCAAACTTTGTGATTCTCTTTAATTTATATAGTTCTGGAAGTTCGTTTGTTTATTTTTAAGCCTACAGCAAGCGCTATTCTACTTAGAAGCATCTTCTTTCAAAAGCATGAAAGAGAGGGGAAAATGCCAACCTCACCCTCCAGCCCTCCACAATCTTGAATTTTTATGGCAATATTTCATGCTAGAATACAGAATTCAAGTCTTATTAGTGAGAAAATAGTAGTGCACTAAAGATATCCTGATGGTGCATTGTTAAAGTTTTTTTTTTTTTTTAAAGACAAACTAATGCCTTCTCTGAAAACTGTCACTCCTCTCATTTTCTGAGTGTAATTCTGAAATTCTTAAAAGCAACATAGAAGGTGCTTTGCTGTTCCAAGCTTGAAACAGCATGAAATAGGGTGGATTTTCCAGAAAACAAAATGAAGAAACCCTCTCCAACACGCTATGGGCAGCGCAGTACCGTTATTTTCTTAGCAATGAGAAGGACTGAGAAGAGCAACATCACCATAAGCTATCTTCACGGGAAGCCCCAGCTTTGCAGTTTTAGAAAGGTGGCTGACGAAGAAACAGCCTTCATTCAAATAAGATTCATGCAGAAACAATGTAGTTACATCAAGTTTATTAGCACAGGATGATAAAAACTTATCTGTGAAGTGGACAGTGGGACTCAAGCTAAAAACTTTAGCTACAGGATATTCCATCACCCTCCCCAAAGTGTCTTCACTGAACTTTATGGCTAATGTGCCTATGCTCAGACTTAATGCAACACATTCATAGAAGGACAGTCAAATACATATCATATTATGCACAAATATAATAAACATTCAATAGTTTACAATATATGGAATTTGAAATTTTTGTGATATGGTTAATAATGCTGCTTCCTACCTTAATTGGGAAACAATTCAATACAATTTAAAGTGGCAAATCCACCTTTTATTTCTTTCTGCTTAGCCCAAAGGTGAATGAGCAAAACTCCTGTAGCTAAACATTCAAGTTATTCTTGTTGCTAGCTGTCTCCAGAGTGATTTGTCTAGACTACTAAGAATTCTTACTCTGACATAAAATCACCTGTCTTAACATCTGATGCCATTTATTTGGCTTAATTATTAATAGAGTTTTACTATTGTTCCCAGAACATGATAGGTGTTTGCCCACTGAGATACACCTAGTCATCACATCGGTCTTTAAGATGACAGACAAGCAGGATGTAAGGAAAATAAAACAAAAATGGCCTATCTACAGTTGCTTTTGTATATGAGAACAGATATTAGTTTGACTGGTACAGCACTAAAAAAAATAACTCCAATCAGATTAAATACAGCTTGGACTGCTGCAGCACAAACAACAGGCACCAACAGTAGGACTAACTAGGTGCTAATATGTGGATTTATTCCACCCATCTGGGATGCATAAATGAGTATTTTAGCCTGCTTGCCCCACCAAGTCCACAAGGAGAGACATGAAAGTACTCAGAGACAGTACCCTGACTGCCCTCCCTTCAAGGACTAGACTGACTGCGGGGAATCTAAGCTCCTGGGTAAAGAGGCCTGAGGTTTGGAAGCATGACCATCCTCCCAGAAGGTCCACTGAAGATGCGAGGCCAACGTCAGAGCAGGGAAAGATTACACAGAACCACAAAACGGTTGAGGTTGGAAGGGAGCTCTAGAGAGATCCCTTCCAAGCAGACTCCACAACCTCTCTGGGCAGCCTGTTCCAGGGCTCTGGAACCCTCACAGTAAAGAAGTTCTTCCTCATATGCGGAACAAACTTTCAATTTGTACCCATTCTTTAGAGAACACAGAGCAAGCTAGACTGACTATAAAGACAACAAATGCAAAGACTGAAGAACATTTGGCAGAGCTCAGGAGAGCAGCATGCCCATGAAGTACATATGCACTCACTCAAAATCAAGGGAAAAAGTAACAGTTCTGTATTTTTGTCAACACTTTTATACAAAAGGGGACTTCTCACAAATCAACTAATCCCAAGATATATAATAAAAACTCCACATTTTACAAGCACTAAAATCCTTCCTAACTACTGCTCCAAGGCCAGCTCTTGCGGAAGGCTGTATCTCCACCGCAGCATTAGTGACATTTTAATCACACGTCCATCTCGTCTCCCATGGCCTGAGCAGGTCAGACCGCCAACCTGCCTAGCAGAGATCTTCCAACCGCGGGCCAGCAGATGGTGCTGTCAGTACAGCCCGACTCGCGCTACCCGGTCCCAAAACGGTACCTACCGCCCTATTCGCACCACCCGTACGCTCACCGATGTTGATAATCTCTCCGCATGCCTGAAAACTGACCTAATACCACGGTGCTACACTGTGTGAGAATATGTTTATGTTTTCCCTTGTAGTTTGTATTCTTAAAGAAAACCTAGCATTGATAACATCTCACATTATTGTCTAGCCAGGCTTGTCCTGGGCAGCACTCGGCTTGACACCACACAGCCTCCATGTGGCTTTGTAGGGACCTCACACTTATACTGAATATCCTGACAACAGAAGACAAACAAGATCATGTACAGGTTTCAGAAACTTCTGCTACTGCCTACTAATACCATTAAGGCCAACCTGAATTTCCTTACGTGCCCACCCACCAGGTTTCGTTCCAAACTTGATCCAGAATTTGTAGCTTTGGCTCAAATCTACCTGTACTTGCTAAGTCCCCAAAGATTTCACTTATATGAAATTTATATCAAAAAGTCCAATTACTGAGCAAATCTAATGCTTTTACAGGTTATTCTATTACCAAGTGTTGATCTAAGTGCACTAAGGGAAATAAACTCACAAAAGAGGTTAGTATGTTTTAGTAGCAAACTGTAAGAAAGTATTTTTAAATCCCCTTTGCTTATTAAGCATGCCAAGGGTCTGCCTGTCTGCTACACAGGGATTCAGCTGCAAATAAAGTTTTTGTTACCTGCCACATTTTGCTGCAAGCTCTCTGAGCCTATAAAGGAGGAGTTTTATTAATAAAGCTCCCATCCTATGACTATATGTAAAGGAGCTATTCCTCTTTGGTGTAAAATAACCCCAAATCTGGAGTTTGGCCAGGACTCCACAGTTCAGAAGGATCTATCTGAAAGGGCTGCAAAACCTGTAATGATTTCAAGGGCGAGACTGAAATGCCTACACTAGGACAGGTGAAAGTGAGCTATTAAATGTAAGCAGTCACCAAAGGCTCCCTTTGGAGTTAACAAAAGGAAAAGCAGCCAACATCTCAAACAGATTAGATGACCCGTCCTCTGGAAGTATCTGTTTCTCTCCACAAACTTCAGAAGAGTCTGAAGAAATGGGGTCAGATAGGCATGGACAAAGCTGCAGTAAGATTCACCTAAGTGAAAAGAGTCAAAACTGCCCATCTTGCGAGGCTTGCCTCTCTGCAGAGCTGTATGTCCTGGGAGTAAGTGGAGCATCGGGTCAGGCAGGTAATTGAAAGAGGACAAAAAGCCTTTAATTGACTGACTCCACTCCCAGCAATACCTAGACTTTTGAAGGCACTGCATCCTAACACCAAATCAGATAAGTTCTGCTTATAAATGGCAAAAACTCCAAAGACTGCATTCAGACAGTCTGTATTCCAGCCATGTTCCTAAACCAACTGTTTCTATTAGCCTGGCATCTCTGATGTTCTAGAAAGTCAGAAAGAAGAAGAGACAGAGATGGGAAGAAACTGACGGTCAAAATTCTAGTTAAATCATCTAGAAGAAAGTGATTACTCACAGGCTGGCAGACACCTTGCCCTAATTAACTATGCTATTTCAATTGGTTGAGAGCTAAGGAATATATCAAGAAAAGGTAACAATAAAAAACGCACTTTTAAAAGAATATGAAAATAAAACAGCTTTCATTTTGCT